GATAGAAGATGTATCGTCTCTCCCCCATGTCAAAGTCATTGTCTCTAGCAGACCATTGGCTGTGTTTGATGATTCACTAAATATCTCCTCCGAAGCCAAACTATCTATGGAAGAGGCCAATCGAGGCGATATCAACAGATATATCACATTTCAGTTGGAGGGAAGCTATCCGCAAAGCTTTATGGACCGTTCGAACTATAGGGATCTTGATGTCGAGTCCCTTGGTGCTCAAGCACAGGGGGACTTCCTCTGGGCTGTTTTGGTAACTCGCTTTCTCCTTGAGGAGCCGTCCCTTTTGCTTGATGCCTACAACGGAGTAGAGAATGTTGCAGACATCCCCCACAACCTACCAAGCCTAGTCAAGAGTGTGACAAAATCCTCGAACTTCCAGGCTTGTGGAAAAGCTGCTGAGTATCTGACAATCACTCGCGAAGCAAAACGAAGCCTAGCTGCCGAAATTCTCTACTTTCACAACTTCGACTTTGGTAATGACATGTACGCTTTTGTGACACCAACGGACCTTTTGTCGCCCCATGACGAGAAAACAAAACAACTACATCACCAGGTTCATCGTGACATCATACAGACATGTAGAGGACTGCTGGAAGTTGTCGATGGACAAGTTGTCTTCGTGCATCGAGCTGTTTTGGAATTGATGCATTCTGAAGAGTTTCATAACTACTTACTCACCAAAGTTCGGAAAGGTTTCGATTCCGATCTCTCAGTCTTCAAAGCGTCAGTTTCTTGGCTCAAGCGCAAATCTTTCAGGAGCGGCGAATTCATCGACTTACAGCCTGAGCCGGCAGCGGTCAGTCTAGCATATGTGAAGAGCCTTTCGAAATTCCATAAGAAATTAGGAAGTACCTTGCCGGATTTTCAAGATACATTCAACCAAACAGTCGACGTTTACTGGATGACAAAGGTTGTCAACATCCGAGGAGGCTTTCGCAACGTATGCAAGCACGAAAGATGGTTAGATGTTGTCGAAGACTTGGGTTATAGCGACGATACTGCAATATCAGTTTCAGACTCACTCAAGAAGCTGTATGAGCGATGGCTTCATCCATACGAAGAGCATCTGCACCAAAAGAAGCTAGAAGAGCACGACCCCATGAAAGATATTGAAGACCTTGTTCAGAGCTTGAGGAAGTGTCTGGAATATGCACGACGTTGCGATCAAAAAGAAAATACTGTTGCCACAACCTGGGCACTACTTGACAACATTGAAGAATCTCTGCTGTCCATGACTGCGAGGAATCAATTCAACATGTCAGATTTATCTATGACAAGGGGCATTTACCGTCATCTTGTGATTGAATCTGGTATCCAGAGATACATTGCGAACAAACTCTGGGTTGATCCACGATATTATGACAACAAATATTCACAAAACTACCGATCACCTCTTTGTTCTGCGCTTGGAGCAGCACCACACAACCTTTATCCTGCGCATCTAAGTCCAGAGTCTGTTGACATATCTCTATTCAAATCACTTCTTGCTCTTGGCCACAAGCCAAATAAGTTTCGCCATACATGGGAAACACCCTGGGTAACCTTTGTGAATACCCACATTCCTGACACGTTGTGCAATTCATTCCCGAGGCTCGACAAGATCAACATCAACCTGGTAAATGAGATATCCAGTCTCATGCTTGAACATGGGGCCTGCCCAGGAGATCACGTCGAACTTCTAGACAAGAAATCGAGGACGTGGAAAGTTCCAATTTGGTTCAAGTTCCTCATGCTGGCCCATTGGGTACCGACTTTTAAACAGGCCATGTTCGAACGTGTTTTCAGTATGATGTTAGAGAGGGCCCCGGAGATTTCAGATTCCAGAGCTTTATTGGAACTCAAATCTGATGGCGAAACATATCAATGGATTCCTTTTCCATTATGGGCAATCAGTGCTGACAATTTCGCACTACCTAACGTGTCAGATTCTAGCCCATCTGATGCTGATTTTGTATTCAGGGTATTTGCAGGAGTCTGTGAAAAGAATTTGGATAACTTGGAAGTGTCTGAAAGGTCTCGAAAATACCTTTCTAGTTACTTCCTTCCAGACTACCCGGAGCTTGGAAGACAAATACTGATGTTCATTCCCGGAAGCGACTCCAGGACGATAGGTTTCACAACAATCACCTCAGCCACGCGGGACAGAAACACGGATAGCATTAGTGGTCGAAATTCTACGATTGCGACGTCAATTGAGCTTCCAGAAGGTATAGAAGTTGGATCTACTAAAGAAGGTGCAGTGTGCAATGGTGAGAGAGCAGAGGTGGATGCCATAATGGACGAAGTTGGCTCGATTCAGTCAATCGAAGAAGACATTCAGTCACACAACAGCAGCATTGCGCGAACTCCAGGTATCATCGCCGCTGAGCGTCAAATTGGTGACTTGCTTTCCCGGCATCCGGATCTCCGTTTTATCATTGATATATCCTCAGAACTCATGCCAAAGGAAAGGCTCGAGCGCAATGTGCGGAGATCACTGAAGCATTTGTACCTGAAACTGAGAGAATACACGAAAAGGAACATCGAAATCCAGGTATTGACGACTCGAATGCTTAAAGGGCGAGGTTCAAGGACTAGAATCTCAAAAAGAGCTGTCGATGGCGAATTAACAACATCACCTCCAAGGAATAGCAATGAAGAAGACGAAGAAATCAGGCCAAGTTTCCGGAAGGATCGAGCTTATCTCAACAACTGGATATTGAAAACGGAACTGTCTGCGAGACCAGATGAGAAGCCTCAGCAGCCAGCAGATGGGACTAGTGACAACAAACTTACAGAAAGTGATGAAGACATGTGCGAAGAAATAGAAAGCGATTCTGGAGATTTCCAAGCAGTTCAAATCGCAGAAGAATTCCTCATGAAGGGTCCTCCTTTCCGGGCGTTCTTGGGACACCTTGGACTCTCATTGCTACCTGATACTCTCAGACAGGTCATGCAATTGGCTACTTGGGATAGCATTGAATTGATCGACACTCCGGCTGAAGTCTCAACTTCTGATCAAATCAAAACATCTGTGGAAAAGGTGACCGGCAGCCCCTGGGATTGGTGGCCACTCAAACCGCCGGAAGTACCTTTGCGAAGGGGTTACGTACGAATGAACTGGGCCTGTGTGAGTTACTACAAGCAACAATACTTCCTATATAACCACCTGACCAAAAATAGCATTGCGGCAAGCCGCTTTCGATAGATATTACTCCTTCTCAAGCACAAATAATTGAGAGAATGACCAAGAACCATACCGCGTTCGCTGAAGACCATCACAGAGCCACTCATACCAGGCGAAATATCTTCCAAGGATTCACAGCATGGTTCAAATGGAACTCTGCAGCCCTTTTACCTGTCTCGACGCCAGTACCCCAAGGTAGTCAACAGCCATCTGGTGTGGTAGGCAATGACCGAATCCAGCAGGGGGTGACTACTACAGAACAGAACAATATCCCGCCTGTGACTATTGACGATTTGAGGATCTTGTTTGGAGTACCCACGGGGATTAAGACGCTACATGTGATTCCAATACCAGTCCATCAACCAGACAGCAACGTTTTCACGCAGTTGAAGGCCGAGTATTTAAGAACGCGAGGCCGATGGAGGGCTTGATTCTCTTTCTGGCAGCTCAGTCACTGCAATTTCGTCAAGGTAGGTGGATTTCACTATGAGGTTTTCACTCTCATATGTCGAATATCTCAAATTGATCTTGCAACACCTATCGGTCATATGTTCTGGTAATATTCATTGATAATTCATTAGTTCGAGAGCATTGCCCGCAACATTGTTGTCGCATGTGGTCAAGATCTGCCAAAGGCTAGCGACTTAGACTACGATTATGCACCAAAGCCTCCTCAAGCATCAATACCACCTGTTCATCCACATATCTTTGAAGCTGCATTCAACAGCTGCACTGGTGGTAAATGCCGAAACCCCTCTCCTTTTCACGACTGCTACGAGTTTGAAGAAACGACTCACATAAAGAGAATTCCGAAGAAAAAGACGCCATTTTCACCGGGGACGATTGATATCCCTATCTGGGGTCTCGAAGCCCGACATTGCATCTCGTGCTTTCATGTTATTATATATCACTTACTTATTCTCATTCCTCCTTTTGTATTGTGGGGATGGTGGATGAGTAGACACCCCGATGACATACAGAGCGCATCTGTTCCCATGACTATTGTTTTGGCAATGATTTCAATGTTTTGGAGTGCTACGGGAATTATGAAGCAATTTCGTGGCGAGTCATAGTGAATCGGAGGATCTATGCTGAATATGTATAGGACTTATTGATATGAAGACACAACTGATAATGGCAGAGCTGGTTTATGTCAGAGGCTTACAGGATATAGAGAAAACGGATTTTAAACAGAATAGAAGAAAAGAGAGTCATCTGTGTCTCTTCTAGTTATGTCCGAGCAGTATCTACTGCCATCTTGGCCTTCACCTAGATACTATCCTTCTCGGTTGAACCATGAGGATCGTGACAGTACTGGCTCAGACATCAACAAGATCAGGCCGCGTGGCCTAATGGCTAAGGCGCTAGATTTCGGTCTTTCAGCAACTGATCCCTCTAGAGATTCCAGGTTCGACTCCTGGCGTGGTCGATTGACACAGCTGATCCACTTTCTTTTTGCACTTCTCTCTTCCTGTATAGAAGAAGAGCTGTCTATTTTGTCGCTTCATGCAAAATGAGAGATACGAACAAACAAAAATGTGGTTCCGCCCGGGATCGAACCGGGGACCTTCTCGGTGTTAACGAGATGCCATAACCAACTAGACCACGGAACCTGTGATCATCGAGATGAATCTCTTGGCGATTGCTGGTTGGGGCGTCGCTATTGAGCTGCAAGTTCCCGGAAGCACGGGGTATTCAGAAAACAGACACAACGACCACTTTGCGCACCTGGTAAAACAGTCACTGAGCCAGTATTGAAGGAACATGCGTCTATTCATACCCGTGCCATACGCCTGCCCATGATATCAGACGGCTCTCGTCTCTAAAACGCGTTGCCAATGTCATCCCAATCAAAGTTATCCATGTCCTGAGTATCAAATCCTTCAAACATGGCAGCATCCCCTGAGGGATCCAAGCTTCCTCCGTCATTGGCAGACCCAAGTCCCAGATCAGATGGTACACCGCCCATACTGACATCAAGAGTCAAGTTATCGACAGACATGTTGTCACCCTGTACACCTGAAGCCGCAGCAGCCATGGCATCTCCAAGTGCAGCGGTGTCACCATCGAGGTTGAGAGACATCTCTGCGGTTTGAAGCATTCCTGGAGGCTGGGGGATGATCATCTGTGCTTCGACGCGACGATGTAGGCGTACAACGATCTCAGCGAGTGCTGGGTCCTTCTTCTGGAGTTTCCTGCAGCCTTCAGCCTCAACTTTGAGAAGGTCACGGAGACTACGCTGACGCTGGACCGGTGGAAGCATGTTTCCATTGGCATCGACAACTGTGGGGGCATCTTTCGCAGCGTCGGGTGCACAGATCAAAGAGATAGCCACGTCGTAGACAATACTGGCACTTCCAGTCTCTGTGTGTTGTCGAATCTCCTCCAAGATGACGTGCAATACTCGCCTGGGGCCCATTACCTTCAGAGCAGCCAAGATTTGTCGATGAGTATAAGAAGTCGGCATACTGTTCATAGCAGGATGCATGCTCCAGTGGACAAGACCTTGGGTGGTAAGTTTGATAGCACTAGATAGACCAGTAGGAGGTGTAACAGTCCAAGACTCAAGCTCATTGAGGTCGGTTCCTCCTGTCCGGCGTGACAAGGGGATACTATCCTTGAGAGTCCGCAGAAGTGGTTCAATGTCTTGGTTCTGGGGATCTCGACGTTGGTATGTTCGTAAAGCATGCTCCAAAGGCTTTGCAATGAGGTTTTTGACGGATGAAAGCATTGTGCTTGCTTCTCCCGAGATGGAGCTTGGGAGGAGGATGAGTTGCAGAATCTTGATGATGGACTTTTGTTCTTTTTGGTCTATCCAGAGATAGTCTGCCAGGAATCGAATCGCTGGGACAAGAGATGGCAATAAGAAGGTATCCACCAGGTCTGTTTCGTCAGCATGAATCACCTAACTAGCAATGGTACTCACATTCTATGCCTCCCTTGAGGCTCTCGTCGTTGAGATAGCCATGCGTGTATGCTACTACAATGCTCTGGAATAGAGGCGCCACAACAAGATAAAACTCTTGCGGGGGACAAGATGACATCAACTCATCACCCAGACCACCTGCCTCGGTATCGAAAAGTCCATGAATCCACCCATTGAGGTGGTCGTTCTCCCTTTGAGTGAGCTCATTGCATTGCCGTCCAATATGCCCCCTGCCAATAATCTTAGCGACCCAAGAGTCAGGGCTGGCGATACCAATTTCTACTGCGTTCAGGTTATATCGATAGGTGAAGGCCAATACAAGCAGCAGAACGGCACCAAACTCCTCGTACACAGGCTGATACTCTTCTTGGTCATCTTCGTAACGCCAGTTATCAAGAAGTTGACATAGGGGTTCAAGTATGTTCGGAAGCTTCTCAAACAGAAGAATGACGTCTAGTGACTGTGGTTTGGCAGCAAGTTGACTGCATAGTACTTTCAACGACATTGTCTCCTTATTGTGGCATGATTGCCGTAGCACCTATCACTGTTAGAAGCAAACAGGCGACGAATGAAGTCACTTACCTCAACAAGTGCCTGACAAACTGCACCGACATTGCCATCCATCTTGTCGAGTTCCCGAACAAGCCCCTGAATCTTTTCCGTATCAGACAAACAGTCTTGCACAAGCTTGTCTTTGGAATGCTTCTGTAAAGATGGTTCATATGAAAGTGATATTTCTCCCAGAATCCTTTCCACGTGCTCTCTTTGCACGAGGCCATGCAGCACGCACGCGGCACAGAACTCTTCTCTGATACTCTCAGTATAAGGGTTGTTGTTTCGAGACTCGTCAAACATGAGTGATGCTGTAGGAAACAGGCTTGTGTCTACGTGGCTTAGTGCCTCCGTGATACAGAATTCAGCCGATGTGCCTGGGAAGCCAGGGGGCAACAGCTGATAGAGAAGTATAGGAATTTTGTTGATCAGGAATGATCTTAGAAGATGGGCGTCTTTCTGACCCTCATTGCGGAAAACCGCGTTGGCCAAGATATCAAAAGATGCGAGAATCAGGTCGATGGCACTTGATTGGATGTCTCCTTGATACTTGTTGCTCATGTACGAAAACAAAGCATGATCGTCCAAAAGGGGGCGTGCAATAAGCTAGCAAGTTAGTCTAGTCCTCAACCCAGAGACACCAAACTTACTGCAGCGTTTAGGTAGATGTACAATCCTGCTCGAGTGTTGCTGACGGGGATATCTGCCACAACAAAATTGTCCAGGCCAACGGCTGAATCAAGAAGTTCGTCCATAGCAGCATTAGTAGCTTGCTTCTTCTTATCGGCGGGATCAGAGCAGGCAAGGATCTCCGTTCGGAACTGCTCGAGCTTGTCTGTTATTTGCGGCACGAGCTGTAACGTTGGCACAAAGCTTGCCAAGCCAGCAGACATTTCTTTCCGGACGTCTGGCCTAGTCAGCATGGGCACAATATAATTGCAATTGTATTACCTTTGGCAATTGGTTTGCTCACGGCTACAACAAGGATGTCATTCTCGCACATCCGTAGTAGGAGTGCGACCAGAGCTGCCCTCGACGACTCCATCTCATCCCGTACCTGGGCTGTGTGCAATTGCTCAATCATATCGGCCGCAAATGCAGTCGTGAAAAGGACCATCAATTTGGAAATGATCCTTGTCATGTCCAATGCCGTTTTTGAATCTCGTATGGCTTTGCCTTCTACTACGGACTTGGTAATTCCGTAGAAAAGTACCTCTTCAGCCCAGTAAGAGCTCTTCCATCGAGTAATCTTCTGTTCTTTTTCATCCTTCTCTTTATCATCGCTTTTTCCGTTCTCTTTTTCGTTTTCCTTACCCTCATGGGCGTTCGGTTGTTGTGCATACGCATGTAGAGACGAGTATTTGTACAGCGCTTTTAGTATTGACGGCGCATCGACATAGCCGAGTCTTGTGAGCACTTGTAAATATGGAGGGATTCGAGGGTCGAGGCTATTATCATTTGATGGTTGAGGGCGAAGGAAGAAATCGGCGACGAGGGCGGGAGGGAGAGGATGCTGATCATGGACGAGTCGAACGTAATTCTCGAATTTCTCTGTATCGAGACGTTGGGAGATAGAGCGTGCGACAAATTGAGACCAATATTCTATGGCCGAGCGCATCGCTTCTGCGGCTGCTGCGCGAGAGTCCATGGCGAAGGGAATGGATATTCAAATCGATGATTAAACGGATGGTCGCGAGATGGATTGATGAACAAAGGAGCGTTGGATCGCGTCCATAAGGTGACCCTTGAGAAAGTACGCCCGTATTCAATAAGACGTAAGTATACCAAGAAATTCCAAAATGAATGAATATATTATAGTGGCGGAGATTTACTCTCCCAGCGTCGGCGCATAAACTTTGGTGGATGTAAAGCTTGAGCTGTCGCAGAGTCGATGGTCTTTGGTGTTGACTTTGGTGGGACTCACTGTGGCGCGGATTTGTTCCGCACTGAATAAGACTGACAGGTCGGTCTATCAACTTGATCCAATCGCCATAAACGACCAAAATAATGAATATTAAAATATTAACAGTCTTTCATATTATGTTGCTACTGCTGACTCCCTTAACTATAAGTACCGTAGACTAGAAGCCTGACAATCATTGAAAGGCGAATGCACGTTGACGGAACCATTAAACTTCATCTGTAGGTCATAGTTATACCACATATCAAGCTATCCAGATTCCATCTAGCAAACAATCAATTTTGGCCCTAGATTTTCTTTGTTACGCCAGGCTCAATCTCCTCCAAAACTCCACTCAACTCCTCCCAGACTCTTCTACACATCTTCTCTCCTTCATCTCCCTGCATAATCCTGGGCAGTTCATGAGAAGCGCCATTGGACATAAACTTTCCGTTCAAACTTTCATCTGCAAACGCCCCAGCCAATAAAGCACGGGATCCCACCTCCGGAGTTCGTCCAAAAAGTACAAGAAGCCCTTTAAATATGAGATTGAATGGCCAGGGCGTGTTATCGAAGAGTGATGTGCTACAGAAGCCAGGATGCACGCCGTTGACGATGATATAGCCTTTTCCAGATGCTTCAATAGCTTTGGCAAGTTGGGTCATGAATATGAGTTGAACGAGCTTTGTCTTGCTGTAGTGTTCAAGGACACTTGGCTGCTCGTCAAGAGCTTTGATGATATTTGGTTCTTGTACGGGAAGGCGACCCTAGTATAGTCAGTCTAGATTCACGGCTGTTCGCAGAGGACTCACCTCAAATGCAGCATCAGAAGATACAATAACAATATGTGGGATAATGTTGAACCTTGTCGACGTCTGCCTCAAAGCAGGGAGGACAAGAAGCGTAAGTAGAGCCGTCGAGATGACATTAATGCTCAGCATGGACTCATGATCCTCGACAAGTTCACGCTGAAAGACAAGAAGACCTGCATTGTTGATCAAGACATCTACTCGGTCTAACTTATTGACACGATCTGCAAACTCGCGAACACTGTCATGCGATGCGAGATCGAGATGCCAGACCTCGACGACGTTGTGTTTTCCAGTTGTCTCTTCAATGTCTTTCTTTGCGTGTTCACCCTTGTCAAGACTGCGACATGCGAGGATTACTCTGGCAGCGTTGAATTGGGTAAAGTGTCGCGCTGCCTCGAGAGCAATGCCTTGGAAATAGTCAGAGGAAGGCAATGAAAGAAGGGAGTATTCATTTACCGCCGTTTCCCCCTGTAATGATGACTACTTTGCCTGTGCAATCTTGCTCTTGCGGTGGTATTGTGGTGAATTTGCCATGGATCATATTCAGCAAGAATGCCATCTTGATTAATGAGCGGCGATCGAAGCCAACGCCAGGGCTAAAAAGAAAAAGGTGTTGTAATTCAATTGGTCGATATTGGAGCCGTGTCTGTAATTACCTATGATGGACCGTTCTGTCAAATGAGATGATGAAGCACTGAGTGAGGTTCAGACGTTGTTGCTGCTGACGAATTGTCTGACAGGTCACAGTGAGCCCAATATGGTTACATTGGTCCCCTGTCTGTACATACATAACCACTCACTAAACTTGACTTATTCCATTGCACATTACTAAATAGTATCTACACTCGGTGTTCCAGAAACGAGGTATATTTGAATACGGGTCTGTTATACTTTTCTCTATGAGAAACATTAGTTAAATAGACAGCGCTTTGATACTCAGCGGTTGTTGACTGGATAAAGACTTCATAACGAGCAATCCATACATGAGCTGCATTTTGTTTCAGTGATTATTAATTAAATATGAATTCTATGGAAGATAAAAACACAGGGGAATCTCAACACAAAACAAATACCAGGATATCTCAGCATCTCAAACAGCACCCTACTTCTCAAAAACCGTCATCATAGTCCTCTTACCAGCCGCCCAACCATCAGCATAATCAGTACCCAGATATCGTCCCTTGACCCACCAAATCATGATGCTAAACAGCTTCATGGTACCCATCTGGCCAGTCGCTCGGCTTCGGCCAAGGGTCACAGCAAACATTGGCTTGTTGGCAGGAGTATACTCGGGAATTTCGCCGCCATCGAGATGAGCGGGGAGATTCTTGAAAAGGTGCTGTGCCTGTTTGTCTGCCATGCCGAGCTGTGAGTTCTCAAGGTTTCCAGCGTCTCCGATGACGAAGATGTTCTTCTGGCCCTCAACTTTGAGATGGGTTGTCTGTTTGACGTAGCCGTTGCTGTCGAGAAGGTTCTTGGGGACGAATTCGGTATTGGGGATAATGCCAGTGGCAGGAAGATAAGCATTTGCGGTGATCTTCTTGGTCGTTCCGTCGGCAGAGCGCACCTCGAGGATGGTATCTGATCCTGAAGGTGTTGCGCTAATGACAGTTGTCTTTGGCATTGTCTTGACCTTGAGCTTCTTGAGCTCCTTGAGAGTCTGCTTGCGAACTCCGTCTGTCGCGGGGGGTGCAAGAGGGAGATCGTCAGAGTAGATGAAGATGACCTCCTTGGTCCCGTGCTGGGAGTACTCAAAACCAAGTTCACCGGCAGTCTCGGAGCCAGTGAGACCGCCACCAGAAACAACAATAGTCTTGGCCTTGCTGATCTGATCTTGGATCTCGTGCAGCTTCGCCTTGGTAGCCTCAGTAGATCCGATGTCCTTCCAGATCAGGCCATCCCTCGTTCTCGAGCCAGTCGCAATAATCAGGGTGTGGTAGTTGACCTCACGAACAGTAGCACTGCTGTTAAGCTCGACACTGACAAGGCTGGAGGTAGTGTCAAGAGAAATAGCCTTGCCCTGAACCCACTCAAACTTGTCGGTAGGGTAGGTGCTGAAGGTAGGTTCCAAAGGGATGATAACCTTGTCGTCGGAGATTTGGCCGGGGACAACGACACGAGGCATGGCGACAGGCCAGTGGAAGTGAGTATTGGGTGAAACGACGACCATCTTGAGATCTTTGCGCTTCATGACTTGATTGACCATTGTTTGACGGATCACGGGAAGGGCGGCAGGGCCAGCACCGAGGACCACGATGGTCTTGACGTCAGCCATTGTGGTGGGATTGAGTTGTTGTTGTTGTTGTCGAGATATTGGTTCTTTGCTTAAAGATGCAATTGCAGTACTGCTTAGACGTAGTCGTAATGTGAGTGAAGATGCTCGATTCAGAACAGGTCGTGACTCTCTACCTATATACAGAATTCAAACCAACTACCCTCCATCCCTTGCTTTCTCAGCGGATTAGAAACCAATAATTACCAGTTACCGCGCGCACAAGCCCCTTGTGGAAAAGCAACCAGGTTGAAATGGCATTGCATTTCTGCCCCTGTTTAGATTAGAAAGACCAAATGCCGCGCGCGCGGCAGATGCTGCAGAGCTGGTGCGGAATGGTCGACAGGTCCACAATTAGATATCACTGACCAATTGTATTGCTTAACGCTGGTCCTCCCCTCTGCCGCCGGGGGGTCCGGAGACTTAAAATGCGCTGTGGCTTGGGCTTTGTCAGTGGATTAGATAACTCGGCGACGGGTTCTATCAAGACGCCGAAAATATTGAATTTTAATTATCACGAAAATCAGGTAATTTACATGTGTCTCTTTAAAGCTGGGAATGTCATACCTAATAGGCCTAGATCATATTATTTCACAAGAGTAATTAGTCACTGAAACACGTATAGAGCGCCAGAACCTTCACAAAACCTTGGCAACTACAGAGAATAAGAGTGCCTCATCAATTAGATCTACTAATGTGAGACCCTGCATGCTAAGTTGGAACCGGTTGACAGCTGGTGCATAGGTAGCCAACGAAGGTCTGAGCCAAGGACCCTGGCCGCTGAACAGGGAAACTTGGCTTCGTGGCCCACCTCATGCCAACAACTTTAAATCAACAGACGAATAACAGCGACAGAACAATTCGTGATTCAATGCTGGATATTATATCTACCAGGCTGATTTCCCGATAGGGAGATATATCCTATAACCCCAGTAATTACTGTATGGTTACTGGTAACCCAGTGTCTGAATCTCAGACGTGAAACTACACATCATCGATGCTCTAGGTTAGGTGAGCGAAGTTCATCATCTTGGTATCAACACAAAATATCACCTATCAACAACATCCCCGTGGTAGATGCATGCAACATCTACTTTAAACCTACAGCCTATGATTAAATGATATAACTGCTATAAACAGTGCATTGCCCTTCTCGTCTCATGGCCTTACTCCCCTTTTGGCCAGCAAACTTGACAACTCTGGTGAACTCTAAGCGAATATCCAGTCAGAGATACGAAACATATTAGAATGTAATGGATGATAAGTCGAGCCAAGAGGAGCAATGCTTCTTCATGAAGCTATCGAACCTGGTAAGATCGCCGAATAAAATTGCACGTCATGATCGTGATCTCCTCACTCGTCAATTTCAATTGTCGTCATTTCCTCTCTTGGCCTGACGCTGATGAGGAGGTGTTGACGATTTGTTAGTCTAGCATTGCCAGTAACTGTGGGTATAATGAAGATGCCGAGAAGTTCGCTACAGCCGTTCATCGAGATGGTTTTCGTTATAATACCCCCTATGACAACAGCCGTTATGGTACTTGATCTCGATGCTACACGCTGACTTGTCATACCCTACAGCATCACCAACCTAGTAAGGCGGCCCGAAAACAAATATCCAAATGGAGATAATGTTATCGAGATCTTGCACAGCGGCCGTGTATGGTGACGACGGGCTGCTCGTTCTGTTCAATGTGACCCATCCCAGGTTGCATGGCTAGCATGGGTAACCCGCAACGTAATGCCAGCTGAGATCACGTCTCAAAAGTAAACGAGTCGAGACCACGGTGACATACTCCTTGTCCTTCTACCGTCATGAACTGGTTGTTGGCAGGGGATACTAAAGCTTTGTCGGGAAGATAAACCCCCCAGGGGTGGTGAGTGCGGCTCAAACGTCATACCCCAAGAGGCGCTGTAATATGATGCAAAACTTCGCCGCAAGGCAACCACTCCACCGTCGCTTTGACCGGTGATCGTAAGCAACTCACCAAAGTGAGAATTGACAGGCAGAAGTGATATCGAATTATTGTCTGTTGAGATTGCGTAGTTGAGTCCTCCTTATTGAGGAGGTGGGAAGGATTGACAGAGGAATCGAGGGAACTCTCAACCTTGGTGACCAACAATCTCACGTGAATGACTTCCCTTCGCGATTTTTATGGCCAATGCCATGCACACAGTCCGAACACTTGCGCTTGATGGCTCGAGGAACTGACGAGGCCAGCGAGCTAACATTGAAACTTGCAATTGAGTATCCCAGATTGTTTCATCAGGGGCCATCTCAGGTCACCAACCTAGAGCGGAACCATCTTGCATCACAAAACACCCTTTTGTCATCTTTTCAGACGACGTCAAAACAAACATCACAGGCAAGGATGCGGTGCGGGTTCTAGACGAGGGTTAGGGGACCCATTCAATTTAAGAAAACATCGATGGGCCAGGGTTTAGAACGACGAAAGAATCTCTTTAAGTGACAGAGCTTCTTTCGTAGGTGGGATAGATGATTTTCGTATTGACAAACAGAGTTGGAGAGGCAGTGTCGTCATCACGTGTCACGTCGGCTGATCAGAGGCGACAGCATTAGGAGTTGCCCTTTTGAGTATCTACTCTGCTGTAAGGGGTCCGAAGGGCTGAGATTTGGAGAGTGCCGTCCAGACCTCGAGATCACAGCTTCTGTTTGGTCCAAAAGCAAGGCCAAGAAGCCGTTTGGCAGCACAAGCTTGTGGGGCATAAAGTGAGGCTCCAAGAGAGTTTTGACGTCTGGGACAAGCTGAAGAAGGCTTCAGGCAAGGAACCAACAAAAAGATTGACGTCGAATGCAGCCTTTTCGTTTGGCAGTCCCTGGTTGGCCAATGACGCAAATGGCATGGAATGTCGGTGATATCTCTAGCCTTGTGGGTTAAGGATAGTCTCTGCAGCCCGCCGCGCTGGTCTGTTCATGACGCTGGTGCCCCCTGGACGTGCAGCGTATAACAGAGGCGAAACGGTGCTAAGGCGAGATATGACGGTGTGCGGCAGTATTCTGCATCTTCCTCTCAAAAGCCTCAAATCAATCAATCCTGGGAGTCTCCGTTTTCCGTTTTTCCTTTTCCTGTTGTGGAGAAAAAGAAAAAAGAACCCTGTAAGAGGTGACATCAGCAAGCGACTCTTTAGCGTGGCGCTGAGTGACCTCATTGGCGCACCTGTTTCACAGCAGACGTCCATGCATGCCGTCATTGGCCCACTCGACTCTCGACTACAATTTCCCCTTTCTCTACTGGTTGAGCGGCACAGCACACAGTTTTGATATGCTCGCCATGTTGACTTGATACTGTGGTGACAATCCGACGTAATAGCAGATTTCTCTCCGTTTCTACACGACTTAGTCCGTTTCCGTGGCGGGTGAAGGAGAGTGCTAGAATGCACAAGGGGTGGCACTCCTATTCACTGCCGACGTCAACAGATGATTCATACCGGGGCGTGTTCTGCAACCTCTCCAGGAGGATTCAGGGTCTTTTCATGTGCAATCGTAGCTCATAAGTTTCGGTGTGATGTGCACCGAGATAAGATCGGGGAAAGTGGGAATAGCCTCGCTTCGAAACTTTGTTTAGGTGTAGAGTCACATCTGCTGGTCATCAACAGAACAAGGCTTTTCTAAGATTTTCAGTGCGTGATCAACGGGGTATGGGGAAATCAGCCGCCAAGAAGGAAATTGGGTTTTTTGCCATGGGATTGTTGCAGATTTCCCATAGCATTGGGGCCGATTTCCCCTCCAGTCTAAATTCCCTCACTCAGAATGGATCCAGTGATGTGCGCCTCCCGAGAGCATATCGAGTTCTCCCCACGTTGATGCTACATGTTTGAGCCTCAAAGATTATCTTCTGCCATGAGACCCAATGAAACCTGAAACTTGTGGCTCTCGATATACGCCAGTGCTTGCCGACCTCGAGATCTTAGGCACTTTGCTTGAGGCTTTTGCCAATTTGGAGAAATCCCGCTCTGATCCCTGGGACTAACTCGCTAGAGAGCGGCACCAGAGTCGGAAGAATGCCAGCCCGAGAGCTGTAGTGATGATGATCCCTGTAATTTGGCTCTTAAGGGTCCTTGTCTTGGCAAAAGAGTCCAGGACCTGGGCGAACCGTTGCTGCTTTCAAACAGCCGCGTGACCCGCTCTACGAAGCTCGTGGTCCCTGGCGTGGTCTCATGGTCTCGGAGCTGAACAATCATTCAGCGGACTTTGGGTAACAGTCGGGCGCAGATGTTTCCTCGATGGCATAGGCTTCCACTTCGCATTGTCTCTTCGTAAGAGGTGTTATTTGTCGTAAGAACACATGTTTCTCAGGCCATGATGCCTCCGCATGCATCATTGCCCCGTCTTTTGGCTTGAGCTTCGAGACATGACTTCCAATCACCCACCACCATAGTCGAGCAATGATGCACGAGATGACTTCAGTGCCGGGACCGGATCAGCAGGGTCTTTCTGTATTTGCGCTGTACCCATGCCACTCGCGATTGATGTGAGTTAAGCTCTTTGCAGTGGTGCAGGGATTTGCTGATCAACAAAGAGCGGAGTGGAATACAGTAACGGTCGTACTGTAAATTATCTCATTCCTGCACGTAGCCTCACCTCTCGGAAGCTCTGAATGGAAAAAGTGGCGATGGGGACAGGACCCTGAACAATGCACTTTAGCAAATCAGAGGAGACTTCGTCAGGGTGCAGGGATAAACCGACGATCCCTCCGAAGCTTACAGCGAGTTCCCAGTAGGGAGTCGTCAAGCTACGCCATTGACATGCGCTAGAGGACGTCTATCTCTGACGATCAGTCGCTCATGATGGCATTACATTGGCCTGAGCGGACTGTTGAGCCCCTCTTTTTTATTGTGCTCTGGGGATATTTCCCGCTTTGAGAAGAGAAGAGAGGAGAGGTCAAGTTGTTGTTGATGGTATCACGGTTGGAACATGTAAATGAGTGCTCGAGACCTTGACCCGAGTGACAAAATACTTGGACAAATTTGGGATAGTTGATGACAATTCACCAAGATTTACCGCTTTTGCAGAAGCTGAGATTCGTTATTTCGCACCCTCACCAAAGGTCTCAAGCCTTTTGGCTTTCCTAGGGACGGGTATGACATCCGGACTATGAAGTGTGTGTGAGAGAGAGACAGACGGGACACAGAGAGGGAAAAAGAAGGGTCCATCCATGATGATGATGGGTTACGGTGCCACTCACACCACCACACACCCACTTACACGCGCTAACATCGGATGCCACACCCCATTACACAAGACGAATCCACTGTGACTGCATTTTCAAGGGACCTGGGGGTGGAGGCTTCAGGTCTGGTGGGCTTCGACTTTGGGCTTGGGCCTGGGCTTGGGCTTGCAGGTACCCAGCCCGCTCCGCTCCTCTCCTTCTCGGCACTGCTGATGTGCATTCGAGCTCGGGCTGTAGAGTTGTGGTATAATAAGACCCTGACATCCCCCTCCTCTCGATCTTGCTTCTCATCATCAATCAACACAATAAACAATCACCACAACTTCGGCTACTCTTCAGCCTCATTTATAAACTCTCCCCTTTCAAGCCGGCGTTCTCCACCAGCCTATTCAGTTTCTCAATTCGACTCACTTGCTTCAGTCGATAATTCATAACTCATCACACTTACACAAACACCACAAAACACCTTCATCATGCCCGCTCGATCAGACTACGGCTCCGTCTCCATGTCCATGTCTCCCCCTCCTCCTACAAACCTCTCAAGCTATTCTCGCTTCATGCACGACCACACAAAGCGTCAGATGGAGGCTTCCGGTGCTAGCCCACCCCCAACCAACGCTACTGCTCAGCGCGCCCGTTCGTCTGGCATGACAAATGGCCACACAAGCCCCAACTACTCATAAATCATGACGAGAATACGACATTTCTAGAGCTCCACTTCCATCATGAGTTCTACTTCTCACATTTTTATCGTTCTGCCTTGGCTGTTAGGGCGTGTCATCAACCGCGACGTCAATGGTGGCGAAGCTGCCCCCAGCCCCTTCTAAGCCAGGCCTCATCCTCACCCTTCTCTCATGAAACAACAACACATTATCTACGGCGTACTGGTGCCTAAAAAAGTTCATTTTCAAATGACGAAATGGCCTACTTCCAAAGTTCTTTTCTTTACAAGCAAATACGATATGCAAGGCGTTTATGGTCGAGGGTTTATTAGCTGCAAGAGTAGCATTGTAACATAGTTGGAATGGGGACACACAGACAGTAGCGGAGGAAGGGGATAGCTTTAGAGCAATTTGCTGTGATGAGCGAAATGATATATGAACGAATTATCCGATCAAAACATTTCCATTGTGGTGAATTGAATACAATGTGATCCTATCCTTGCGCCAAAATTACACAATCATTATACAAATAATTACTTAACCTCTTTCCACCATTCCCTCATGACGATTTCTTTTTCAGTCCTAGAGCAGCTGCATGATCCTTCTTCTTTTTAACCGCCCTCTTGAAGATTGGCGCTGGGGCTTGCGGCTCAACAGGTGTTTCTTCTGGCTCAGCAACCTTCGCAGAGCTCTCCACCTGAGCTCGAGCCGCAGCGAATGCTGCCTTAGCAGCTTCTTCGTCCTCCTTTTCCTGTTGTTTTCTCTCTTCATCTTCTGTTCGTACGATAGTATCTACAAAATCCACACCTTCTTTCTCGGATCGGTTGATGCGAGCGTTTCTGTGTCGGATTTCGTCCAAGGCATCAGCGGCGGCCATTTCTCGTTGAGCATCCTGGTTCTTGGCTTCCAGCTCTTCCATCTTGTCCAACTCTTCCTCGCCTGCGGCTTCTGCTTCTTCTCGTTCCAACCTGTCCAGACGTTGTTCGACGCTTTCTTCCTCAGCCGCGCGATTCCTCCACGGCTCATTGTTCCTCACCGCTCCACTAACTACAACGTAGTCTTGGTTCTTTGGGTCGGTCTTGATGATGATCTCCGAGCTGCAGGACGAACATCTGAAACTAAGTTTGACGATCTGTATTCCTAAGTACTTTTCGTCTGGAGGAGTCTCCTTGCGAGCGTTCTTCTTCAAACCGCGATTTGAGAAGGCACCGCATCGTGTGCATCGCATGGTGAACTAGAGACGGGGGTTAGCTTTGGTCGCAATCTTGCAGGTATTTGGTAGGTCAAGACATACTGGACACATTATGCGAACCTGCTGAATGCGAGGTCCAGCGTTCTTGGGACCACGGCGACGTTGAAGAGCGCTCGGATCAAAGTCGGGAGGGTAGTATTTTTGTAGGACTTTGCGTTCCGACATCTTGGGCGAATTCGGAGAGTAGGTAATTCAAGTAAGGCTCGGTTTTATGTGGAAGCGCGCTTGTATGAGAGCAGCTGCTGGTGGCAGAGTTAGAATCGTGTTGTGTGAATGATAAATCGTGAAGATTGGAGTTCTGGAGTTGAGCAGTCGCAAAGCATAGGTAGGCAGCTGATAATAGCGGGGCGATTCGGCTGAATAATTCACAGCCAACCAATCAGCTCGTGTCGCGATTCAGAGGTCTCCAAAGGTAAGGAACTCATCTAAAGTCATCGTAAGCTGACCTAGTTCTTTTTGTCACTTGGGATCGTAACCTTCGGTGTCTTGCCTCTCCTAACATATTAGAAGTATCTCAGCGAGAAGTTATTGATATCATGGCTGGTTTTACGGATACCTTACTCAAGGTACCTAGTAATGGTGCGCTGTGTTAATAAGCTTCCTTTTATAATCTGGCTTGGGGAGGAAAGAAAACGTAGGATCTCGATCCTAAATAATAAAAAGACTTAGGTGACCCAGTATAAGATTGGTATAAGGCTCCAGTAGGAAACTTTTTGCTGAGTTTATTTTGACAACTTTTGTTAATGTCTGATATTTTCTTGCTCCCCAAGGAGTGGTACACGGAAGGCCCCACCTATTTCTACGCGGCTCCACACGCTTAACATCCTATCCACCAGCTCTTTGCATCCATGAGAACCTTCCTTCTTCAAACATCATCGCCACAATGCCAAAAGCCGAGGTCGGTTCAACAAAATACGTCGCAAATCGCATGAAGGCCAAGGGCCTTCAGCGTTTGAGATGGTACTGCCAAGTATGCGGTAAGGAAACGCTGCGCTGTCTCATCATCGTGGTTTCAACTCCTCACCTCACCTCTTAATATCACCTCTCAACCTCATAACAAATACTAACTGTTTCATAGAAAAGCAATGCAGAGACGCGAATGGATTTAAACAGCATTCCATGTCTGAAAGTCATGTGCGCCAGATGCTCCTTGTTGGCGAAGACCCCAAGAAGTATATCAAATCGTACACCCAGCAGTTTCAGTCAGACTTTCTCCAGCTTCTCAGGACCGGTCACGGTGAGAAGCCGGTCCATATCAACCATTTTTATCAGGAGTACATACGAAATAAAGAACACATACATATGAATGCCACCTCTTTTGCTAGTTTAACGGAATTCGCAAAACATCTTGGCCGCGAGGGAATTTGCCGCGTTGAAGAAAACGATAAGGGTGTTCACATAGCGTGGATAGACCGGTCTCCAGAAGCCCTTAGACGACAGGAAGCATTAAGACGCAAAGAGGCCCAGGATCAAGGCAACGAGGAGATAGAACAGCGAATGATTCGGGAGCAGATTAAGCGAGCACAAGCCACTGCCGGCAGTCGGGAAGAGGAGAAAAAAGAGGACAGCGAAGCTCGGGAACTAAAGCGACAAGAAGGCGAGAAGATTAAGCTCTCATTTGGAGCGAAGCCAGCTGCTTCCGAAACGAAGTCATCAGAAAGCCCCGCGCCTGACACAGCGGCCCCTGAAGCAGAATCTTCGAGGACAACAGACACAACTACGGACCAAGGCAAAGAGCCGGAAGGAGCGCCAGCAAAGCCCGCTGGCTTTGGGGGTATTTCAATGAAGCTTGGCGGAAAGCCTCAAACCAAGAACGTTTTCGCCCAGGCCAAGAAGAACGCCCTCGCTTCAGGATCGAAGAAATCAGCCAAGATTCAACAGCCAAAGAAAATGAGCGAGGCTGAACGTATAATGAAAGAAGAGATGGAGAAGAAGCGATCAAGAGAGTCTGCTGGGTTCAGCTTCGGTATGGGCTCTGGTAAGAAGCAGAGAAATAACTGAGGATATTAGGGATTATTTTACAGCTTGGACCGGGTTACGGGAATTATAACAAATGGCAAGGGTCAAATTATGTTGAGCACAAGATTTGGATAGGGCGTTTTTGCTTTATTCTACCATCGATACCACAACGGCTGCTTTTAAATCATCATACGCGATTTTCATAATTTACTGCTATGCCAATCCCTCTAACGCCAGTTTCGCCAGAAATGGAGAAGAAATTATTCCAAGCCAGTCAAAACATGGCAATCTATGCATCGTTCTCCGCCTCTGTGCCGTCACGTCTATAAACCCAGTCAGTTCAGTTCATGCTACCAGTGTCCAATTCGACTTACGGAATGTACTGTATTCTATACTCGTCTTCCAGCGTCGATCGAATTTCGTCGGGGAGTTGACCTGACACTTTGATGGCGTACATGCCAGGAACATAGTTGTCAAGGCGCTGGTAGCGTGCGATCCATGATTTGGCCGGGTTTGCGAGGGTGATTACTCCCTCGAAGACTTGGGAGGTGCAGCTCTCAATCTGGTCTTGCGAGTGCTGAAGATGCAGAAACTCTTCGCAGTTCGGGCAGCCTTCGTCGCGGAAGCGCTAGGATCGCAATATGTTAGTATCGGGCTCGTGCTTGTATTCGCGACAGAGAGGACGTACAGCGTAGGTCATGACAACAGAGCAGACCATGCATGCTCGTAGGTAGCGCGCTTGGCCGGCAGAGACGTAGTTGGAAGTCGACATTGTTCGTGTTTCGGGGGAGATGCCGTCGATAGTATTTTGTTTCGGCGATCGATCTGGGGTCGTGAAGAGTAGTTGTTGAAATGTTGAACAAGTTCGCGACAAAGGCGGCGGATGGAGAGCAGTTATGTACTTAAGCGGTGTATGCAACAACTGCGATATCCACTCAATCTTCAATCTTCCATTGAAGATACTTAGATCAACCTGACCATCAACGAAACATCTTGTTACTTCTATTCAAAATGACGCAAAATTCAAGCCAAAGCAGCCAAAAGTCAATATTTCAGCAGAAAGATCTCGAAAAGTCTCATGATCTTCTCACATGCACAATCAAGGAGCCACCATTCTCATATGTACACCTGCAGCTTGTCAGTCTCAGCGGCTCATCGTCTGTCACACTTGACAATCTTTCGCTAAAGAGCTACTGCACAACTGCCCTCCGCCGATGTCTGGGGATGGTAGGAACCGCGATTTCTATGGATATTCTTAAAATCGACAACGACCATGCCTGGGTCCGTATTCCAAGACCAGACCTTGGCTCGTTTGCAACGGCAATCACAGCATGGCAAGGCACAACCGATGATGGCGAGCAAGTAAGCCTACAACTACGACAATGCTCAGACTGGCTAGGTGCCATGGTTGGAGCGGACGGACAAGATCGACTATGGAATGCTTGAAGAGTGGCATTTTGTCATATTTATCATCATTCAACTGGAACCTCATTTTATCATCTCATCTATCCGAAGATGGGGGTATAAATGTATGCATGTACATCGCCCATCGGCCTACCCTGCAAATGCACCGTTTCCAGACGCCCGGGACCTGAATACATTGTGAAATCGCCGCCAGTTTCGCTTTCTAAAGGCTCTCCGTTTTTTCTACATCAGAGAAGACATGAGAGAGCTTTGCGCATATGCCTGGCAGTTGATCAGTATTGGGGGCTAAGAGATTGGGCATCGAGAGCCACTTACCATAGGCTTGATGTCGGGATGAGGCACAGCATCAAATTGCTCGTACTGGAGTTTGTAGTCGGGGCCAATGTTGATGTAAGCACCCCTGTTTTCTGTTGAGTCACAGTATCGAGGGGCGGAGAAGACTAAGGGAAGGTCAGCAAACGTTCAATCAGGATACCCAGAATAACTTACCGGTAATACAGCGGCCATCGTGCTGCACTTCATAACCGTCCATGCGAACCTCGTGACTTCGAATAACAGCCTCAAGGCCGTTCTTCTCACAGAACTTCTTGGTGATGTCGGGACCAAACTGCATACCGACACCACGCTTGCTGGGTCCTCGGCCGTTCTCCTCCTGGGGGTCGGTCCAGAGCATCTCCATCATCAAACCAGCTTGACCTGGTTGTCGCTGGTTGTGTCGGTTGAGTTTTCGGATATCGTCAAGAGTGACGCTGTCATCAGAGAAAAGACCGCCGTGAAGGACAAGGTACTTCTTGCCAATGAGAGTGGCCAGAGCAAGAGCAGAGAAGCTCTCAGAGAACAGCTTGAAGACCCTTCATACTCAATCAGTACCGTCACATGGATATGTACATGGCTCGCAAAACTTACCGCTCGTTGTACTTGGCTTTGCACTCGCCCTCGAAACCGTACACACGGTTCATGTCATCCGTTTCGTGGTTGCCACGGTTCAAGAAGAACTGCTTAGGTCGTAACCACTTGTAAGCATAAAGGAGCAGAGCGATCTCAGTCGACCAAGAACCTCGGTCCACGAAATCACCGTTGAAAAGATACCAGTGCTTCTCGTCAGGGGTTCCGTTACGGCGGAATAACTCCATAAGATCAAAGTATTGACCTGAAGTGGCGAATTAGCTTGGCAAACCTCTGACCGACAAGGTTTCTTACCGTGAGTGTCACCACAGACAGTGAGCTTCACGTCGCTGGGAATCTCGACCTCGACCATGGTGGGCTCTTCGTATACGAGCTTCTTGACCTCGATGATGATTTGATAGACGTATTTTCGGTGGATCTTCTTGCCCGTCTTGAAACGTTCAATCATATCGTCGATGAACTCTTGTGTCATCTCGTCGCCTAATCGCACACCATCATATCCTGGCTCGACCACCATGGAGTCTAGATCAAGACCCTCAGCCGCTGAAGGCTCATCGCCGACCTCGATTGCCGCAAAGAAGGCTAGCTGACGGACGATCTTTTTGCACTCCTCCAGCTTGAGTCTGGCATCTTTGTTGCCGGGATCGAGGGACACACATGTCTTGAAGTCGTCAATGGCCTCTTTAGGTCGGAGGATCGCAGTCTTGGCTAGTCCTCGTCGGTAGTACGCCTATCAAGGTCAACATTTCAAAGCCTCTTCCTCCGGTTCGTTGGTGGTATTGTGGCGAACCTTGACAAGTTTGGGGTTGAGCTCGATAGCCTTTGTAGCGTCGGCAATGGCGTAACCGTAGGCCTCGGTCTTGATGTATGCCTAGAGTATCAAGTCAGGAAAGGTTCTGGGAGTAAGATCGTGTGGTATATTGACGCACTTGGGCTCGGTTGGTGAAGAATGTAGGCTCCTTGTCGTTCAACTTAATAGCCTCGCTGTAAAAGTCTACAGCACCGGGATAATCTCCCGCTTGGAAGGCCTTGTTGCCCTTGTTCTTAAGTTCAACAGCCATTTTGCGAAGTCAGCGTTTGTTCGGCGAAGAAGTTGGCTGCACAGAAGGAGATCGAAGGAGGAGGGGGAGGGGTTCTGTCGATGGTTTGCGCCGAGCGCAGCTACAACCGCTAGAGTCAATCGCAAAGAGAGAAGAAGTGGATTATGAAAGGAAGGAATCAAAGTAAGCTTGTGGAAGGCTAAAGAAGCGAGACAATCTGCCAAACCGGCTTGGTTCCACAATGCGAGGAAGGGGGAAGAAGTTTTGGACGTTGATGGAGGGCGGCTTTTCGGTGGAGTTTCTCCCCGCTGGCGGCGTCATGAAGACGAACCTAGAACACCTGGCGGGGCGGGCTTAACGGGCAAGGCTTCAGGGCTTTCAACCTTTGTGATAGGTTAGAATGCCCCTGTAAGCGATCGCAGCTGGGCGCAAATCAGCAATGCCTAGCGTGACCACGCGCGTAAAGTTGGGGAATCTTTATCAATCGCCACCAACACCAATGTGTGTGTGCGTGTGATGCTGCATTGAAGCCGACCTAGCCTCAGATGCGAATGGGATATATCGTCTCTTTATTGTGCTACGTTTCTACAGCTCAAGTTTTCCTCCTTTCAATCACCAGGCGGTTGTGCTACTCATAAAGCTTACCTAGAGTAATGCCGCTGACTAGGTACCTACTAACCCAAGAAGTTAACCTGAGTGTTCAGGTTGTTCAAAGTTACCTTGAGTAGTATGGAGTACCTAAGAATGGCAATATGTACTTGGACTGGTCTTGGCCGAATCGTAGATCGGTTAGTTGCATATCAAGATCTCGGCCCCACTGTTTCATTGTTGGAACCTCAGACAAAGTTATCACTATCAACAGACACAAACCAAACTCATCCAAAAGACTCGACTCTGAACATCTGAAATGCACCTAGAGACATCTCACCACTAGAAAACACGATCCAGCACTGATAGTGAACTTTCCACGGCTAGTGCGCGCCTTGCGCCCAGGGTTGGCCCGTCATGGACACATCAGGGTCAGGGACCTCAAGTGCGCTGGTACGCAAGCGGACAGACACAGACTTGATGCCCCCGCCCCCTCAAGTCAAAAAGATAAAGCGACCCAAGAAGGTACTTGACGAAGATACCTACACAGAAGCACTATCACAAATCATCGCCCGGGACTTCTTCCCAGGACTCCTTCAAACTGAGATACAGCAAGAATATCTGGATGCCCTTGAGTCAAAGGATTCTGCCTGGATCTCAAGTGCGGGCCGAAGACTTCAGCATGTTATGACACCTGGACGCCGAAATGCACCTCTCTCATCACAACTGAATTCTTTCACTGCCGGTGACAGGACACCTTCGACATATGGCGGTGATACGCCAGCTTCAGTTACCTCTGATGTTCCGGACCCCCAACCAAGGCTAGGGGCCAACATGAGCCTAACAAAATTTCAAGCTACTTACACAAGTGAGGATAATGAAAGCTTTTATAAGCTAGTCGACAAACAGAATCAGAAAAAGGCGGACAAATATGCCTGGCTTTGGCGTGGTAACAAACTACCATCAAAGCAAATGATCAAACAGAAAGAGGTTGAAGATCGACTGAGCCAAACCCGAAGCCTCATAGATGACGGATTCAAGAAGGACCTGCTGGCCATCAAGGACAAAGATGACCGTCCAGCTCGCCCGGATTCCTGGAATGCCAACCCTCGAAACGGTTTGATGTTCAGACCTGACGGGTTAGAGGATGGTGTCCTCACCGTTTCTCAGAAGGCCGAAGAATCTTCAAGGATGGCTCCAAAGTCCATAGTCTACGAGAACACGAGAATGCCACAACCGCGTATCACACCGAGGCCGCCATCTCCGACCATGTCAGCGGTGCGAGACGCCATTGCCGGCAAGCCTCGGAAAGATGACCGAGACTCTAGCATCGTTAGCGGAGGCGAGACACCAAGAGTTAATGGGTATGCATTTGTGGACGATGAGGATGATGAAGATGAGCCAATCCTCCCTGCTCCTATTATCAACCTAGGCCCGGGAGATGCAGCTCCAAACCCTTTCCGCCTGCAAGAGCAACGCGACAGAGAGAGTCTACATGAACGCATGGTGGAGAGGATATCTCAGTCGAAGAAGGAATCCTCAAGGAATGGACTTACAGGGAGAGTTGACAAGACGCCGGTTCCAAAATTTCCGAGTAGTCCTCGGGTCAACGGTGGACTTACACCTGCAGCACAAAGGCTTTGGAGTAAGGTTGGCACCCCTGGACGAGGATCAAGTGGGAGCTCATTTGGAAATTCCAAACCCATGACTCCCAGAGGATCACTTTTGAGATCAGTGAGAAGACCTGGCTCAACATCTGGAAAGAAGTAACGGTTGAAATGAGATACCGCGGTGACAGGATTCGGGGCTTCTCCTGCTTTCTATGTCTCCCGACTGCATTCATGGACTGAAAATTGCTCCGATGTTCCATTGTTTTCACATGGCCGGTCACTATCCTCGTCGTTTTTTAATAGCATGGTGTTGTGTTGGCGCTTCGTACTTTTCACGATACCTGCAGCGGCTCAGAAGAGAAGCGCAACCATTCTGGATTATTTACATGATATACCAAATAGAATTAAAAATCAAACAGTCGTTTTCTAATGGCCGAATAATGTGCCTGGTTCTCATAACTCCCAGATGAGGCCATTTACAAGGAACCCGCTTAGTTGCATGGCCCATCGATTAGGTCATGGACTTTTTTTCGTTGGACCTTGGAACTACCAACCCACCAAACCGAGCTGGCAGCCAACGCCAGCAAGCCAGACAATATTAATCACATCCATTCAATGTGCTTCTGGTCCAAGGAGGCCGTCTAAGCCCGATGAGGTTCGTCGACTTCGCAATCGACCTTGCGGCAGTGCTCAATGCCTCTCGAGGTGTCGCCGCTAAGCATGTCGCGCTCCGAGGTCGCCAGATCGATACCTACAGTCGAACTTTGAGCGTTGCCGCGGCATTGAGGAAGCGAAATGCTCAGAGGAGCCCACCGACCGGGGAGAAAGCACAGAATGCTACGGCGGCGGGCGATGAGGTTGTATACGAGCAAGCTGCGCCGGCAGCACGAGAGACGAAGCCTATAATCGAGACATCGAAACACAATGCCCCGCCTGAGGTGACGAGAACTGAAAGAGCACCCTTCAATAGCCCGATACCCAATTTCAGACCGAGCCCACAACAGCAAGCTACAGCGGAACCGGCGAAAGAGGATGACCTTGATCTGCCGCCTGGGATCGACGTTAATATCTTCCATACCGCGAGAGGCTCCAAGGTCCTCGATTCTCTACGAAAGCAAGGCCGGCCTGGAGCACCTCCTGCACGCCCCGGAGTTGGGGGTCCAGTGAAGCCACATCCCATGCGAGACTGGCCTCCGCGCCCACCACCCCTCGAAGAGAGCTATGAAGAGAAGCCAGCAAAACCTCAAGAGCCAGTATTGAACCCAGTGGAACCCGTAGAGTCTGTAGAGCCAGCTGAGAAGGAGCCCCTGATTGAGAAGTTTGTGCCGAAGAAACAGTTGGAGGAGAAGCCCGTCGAGCAGAAACCGGTGGAGGAAAGCTCCGTGCCTGAACCAGAAAAGACCACTCCGTCAGCCCCTACAGCAGACAGAAAGATCGACGAGGATGCCATTCAAGCTGTCAGAGAGATTGCTGAGGAGACAACAATGCCCTCAGAGACACACTATGCCTTACGGGAATCCAAGGTCCCCTCATCTCGTATCAGCCGAATCTGGAACTATAGTGGTCTTGCAGCAGGTATGTTGGGAGGCGCCATGACCGAAGGCTTCAGTCGAGCCTTTGGCGGTGGCGGCGAGGGATCTGTCCTTCTGAGCGAGAAGAACATGGAGCGTCTGGTTGCAAAGCTCTCACGCATGCGTGGTGCTGCTTTGAAGCTTGGCCAGATGATGAGTTTTCAGGACACCAAGATGCTACCTGCCCCCATCCAGCAGGTGCTCCAGCGTGTCCAGGATCGCGCTGATTACATGCCTGCCTGGCAGCGTGATCGCGTATTAGTAGCAAATCTCGGTCCTGAGTGGAGAGACCTCTTCAGCGATTTTGAGGAGAAGCCTATCGCTGCTGCTTCTATCGGACAGGTTCACAAGGCCACATTAAAGAATGGCAAGCGAGTCGCTGTCAAGATCCAATTCCCCGGTGTCGCTGACTCGATCAACTCGGACCTCGACAACCTGAGTATTCTCCTCACAGCTACCAAGCTACTCCCTAAGGGCCTATACCTCAACAAAACCATCGACAATGCGCGATTGGAGCTTGGTTGGGAATGTGACTATGAGCGAGAGCTTCAGTGCGCTCAACGCTACAAGGAGCTTCTCGGTTCAAGCGAGAAGGATGTTTTTATGGTGCCAAATGTTTATCCCGAGGCATCAGGCAAGCAAGTACTGACCATGGATTTCATGGATGGTATCGGCGTGACTCGCATCACCTCTTTCACTCAGGAGCAACGCGACTGGATCGGCACCCAGATTCTGCGTCTCTGTCTCCGTGAGATCACAGAGTTTCGATTTATGCAGACAGATCCAAACTGGACAAACTTTCTCTACAACGCGGATGTCAACAAGCTCGAGCTACTCGACTTTGGCGCGTCTCGCGAATATCCTGATGAGTTCGTCACACAATATGTGCAGCTTCTCGCTGCGGCCTCTCGATCCGACAAGGCCGCTGTCAAGGAGTTGTCAGAGAGCTTGGGCTACCTGACAGGCCATGAGAGTCGCACCATGGTTGAAGCACACACAAAATCTGTTCTTACACTTGCAGAGCCTTTCCTAGCCAACGCACCCGATATTTATGACTTCAAAGACCAGACAATCACCGAGCGTGTCAAGGCTCTCATCCCTGTCATGCTCCACGAGCGACTGGCACCTCCACCAGAAGAGACATACAGTCTACACCGAAAGCTCAGCGGTGCGTTCCTCCTGTGTGCAAAATTGGGTAGCAAGGTCCCTTGCAAGTCCATGTTTGAGGATGCGCTTGCCAAGGGGGGGTATAGTAGGTGAGAGTGACGGAGAGTCAAGTGTAATTATGTACCATATAATCTCATGTGTAACATTATTTAGATGATAAAACGGTCGAGGGATGGAATAGAAACGGGATTTCATGACAACAATGTCTTGCCCAGAGTACATACTCATTCCAATTGTTATAAAAGTGAATTTTACACCATTCGCTGTTCATCAAGAGGCTGTGGGCAGGGCCAGACTTGTCTGCGAATCTAGATGTCTTGTTATATAACCTCCAAGTCATTATGATTCGGACGATCGGAGATGAGCCGGTATCTTGAGTTCATGAGTCTAGAACTGGTGGGGCACTGGGAGTCATTCTGAGATATTTGGAGCGTAAGGTCTATCCGAGTTATAGAGTCTTTTGACTGAAGAGACTTTGAGAAAAACCATGAGTATCTCTTGGCACACAAAATATAATTTATAAAAACTAATGGAAGCTTGTTGAAGTGAAGGTTCAAGACCAAATACAAAAGGCATTGCATGTAAAACAAAGTAAGTTATGCCGCTATCGCAAGCTTCTACCCCGCGCGAATACATAAACTGAAGTATAGGCCCACCCCGATCTCTTCATACCTACCTAGTCACCAACCTTCACTTCCCTCGAAAGTGATTCCTTGGACATCTTCAGTTAAAGATGGCGAACTTAATCACTTTGGCGACATGTTCTCTCAATCAGTGGGTGTTGGATTGGGAGGGTAACTTGAAGAGAATTCGCAAGAGTATCATTCTCGCCAAGGAAGCTGGAGCTACGCTTAGAACGGGCCCTGAGCTCGAGATTACAGGCTATGGCTGGTATGTCGGATTCTGGCCCAGTTTGATACTTGATAACAAGGCGTTACTAACAAACTGAATAGTCTTGATCATTTCCTTGAGGCTGACGTATACGAGCATTCCTTGGAGTCACTCCTCGCAATCTTGACTGACACCGAACTCCATGGCATTCTCATCGACGTTGGTCTTCCTCTCATGCACAGAGGGTGTCGATACAACTGCCGTGCTATTATCCTGGACGGAAAACTACTCTGCCTTCGCCCCAAAATCTATCTTGCCAACGACGGGTACGTTTTGCTGTCTATACCTAGGCTAGATTGCCTGGCTGACATGTTTGTATAGCAACTTCAGGGAGAACCGATTCTTCACTCCTTGGAACAGGCCGAGATATGTTGAGAAATACAATCTTCCTCCTGCTCTTCAGAAGCACCAGGGCGTTCGACAAGTCCCCATTGGTGATGTTGTTCTGTCCCTCAATGATACAACTGTCGCCGCCGAGACATGCGAGGAGCTCTTTACCCCCCAGGCACCTCACATTAACATGTATGTTTTAATCACCCAATAGCTCAAATTATGCTAGTGGGGGAATAACAGGCTATTGGACCTCTGGGTTATGACTGACTTTTGTCCAGGGCTCTCAATGGCGTGGAAATCTTTACCAACTCCTCCGGCTCTCACCACACCCTAAGAAAGCTTGATGAGCGTATTGCTCTAATTTCTGAAGCGACTCGCAAGAGTGGTGGTGTATACCTCTATGCAAACCAGTCTGGTACTTTTCTCCAACGACCGCCTCAATCTTGCTTGGTCTGACGATTCTCTAGGTTCCGATGGAGACAGGCTTCTCTACGATGGTGCATCTCTCATCATGGTCAATGGCTCGATCGTGGCTCAAGGCTCACAGTTCAGCTTGGACGATGTCGAAGTTGTTACCGCGACCGTTGATCTCGAGGAAGTTCGCGCTTATAGATTCGCCCCATCTCGCAACTTTCAGGCTGTCCAAGCTCCTGTGTATGAGAGAATCGAGGTTGATTTCAGCCTGGGTCATGAGGATCTTGACCTCCTTCGTGCCCCAACAGCTCCTAGACCAGCCCGTTATCATGTCCCCGAGGAAGAAATTGTACGTTCATCCGTCAGACAGGACTTGGTTGAAGTAATTGGACTGACTTGAGATATAGGCTCTTGGCCCAGCTTGCTGGCTTTGGGATTACCGTACGTTTATCCTTGTCGTTCTGGCGGTCGGAGCTTGACCTCGAAAGAACTGAAAATACTAACTATTGAGCAGTCCGAAGAAGCAGGGCATCTGGCTACTTGGTCCCTCTCTCAGGAGGTATCGACTCCTGTGCAACCGCTACCATTGTATTCAGCATGTGCAGACTCGTCGTTGAGGCTATCAAGGCTGGTAATGAGGAGGTCATCGAAGATGTCAAGAGAATTGCTGTGTTCTCGGATAAGCTCCCCGAAACCGCCGAAGAATTCTGTAATCAGATCTTCCACACGGTATACATGGGTATGGAGAAGCAGAGCAGCAAGGAGACTCGACAGCGTGCCAAGGACCTTGCCGAGCGTATCGGTAGTTACCACACTGACATGAATATTGACGATACCTTCCACGCTACCAAGAACTTGCTCACTCAAGGCACAGGATTCGAGCCCAAATTCAAGGTTCATGGTGGATCAGCGACTGAAAACTGTACGTTCTTTTACTTCTCACAATACATGCTAAACCCCTTTGCAAGTGATATACTAACTCTTGCAGTGGCCCTTCAGAATATCCAGGCACGCAGTCGCATGGTAATCGCCTATTACTACGCTCAGATGCTACCAACAGTTCGACAGCGCCCAGGTGGAGGAAGCTTGCTTGTTCTAGGATCTAGCAATGTTGACGAATGTCTCCGAGGATGTGAGTGTGCCTTAAGAAGGGTGTTGCGATGTTGGCTAACGATATCTTCTAGACCTCACAAAATACGAGTAAGAGCTTCGCCCGTATACCCCTGATGTGAATCGTGCTAATAGATGACCAGCTGTTCTTCGGCCGATCTCAACCCCATAGGTGCTATTAGCAAAAGGGATCTCAAGAGTTTTATTTCATGGGCGTCCAAGAACTTCGACATGTCGATTTTGGAAGAGTTTATTCATGCTACACGTACGATATCTATCACGCTGGTTGGGTCATGAGATGACTAACACCAACATAGCCACGGCTGAGCTGGAGCCTATCACCGAAAACTATGTTCAGTCAGATGAGGGTAAGTGATTATCTCCTGTTGTAAGTTCACTCATTGACGTAATCGCAGTTGATATGGGTATGACCTATGACGAACTAGCTCGCTTTGGAGTAAGTGAACTAGCTACGGATGAAAGGCAATGTTGCCATGAAACTGACACCTTGTTGCAGCGACTACGTAAGGAGAGCAAGTTAGGACCCTACGGCATGTTCCTACGACTTGTCGAAGAATGGGGTGGTGAGGGCAAACTGAGCCCACGAGAAATCGCCACCAAGGTGAAGCGTTTCTACCACTTCCATTACATCAACCGGTAAGCAACATTCCTATGGAGAAATGGCTTTTCACTAACAAAATGTAGTCACAAGCAAGCTGTGGCAACACCAGCTGTTCATGTGTAAGCGGGCGTCTTGAATCTTGTATTGTGTTGAAGATGTTGACTTTGACCCAGGGAAAATTACTCGCCCGACGACCACAGATTTGACCTTCGCCCTTTGTTCTACCCACCTGCCTTCCAAGGCTGGTCCTTCCAGAAGATTGATAAGCGGGTTGAGGCGCTGGAAAAGGCTCTGGAGAAGAAGAAGGCTGCAAGTGCCTCACAATAGAGTAAACTCTTGTTTTGTGTTTAAGACAAACATGACTGTATAGTCAGCCATAAGAATAGAAAAGAACAAAGCTCAAGCGCGTCCATTGCACATTCGCAGTCTGTTTTTGTTGGTACTCAAACTACAAGAACTGACTACAGGTCTCGTGAATAAAATCTCCGACCCTCGGACTCAAGAAATGCTGGTAAACGGTATATTTAGTGTTATGGACTGATTTGATTCAAACCTAAGCTTACGCTTCTTAGCCCGAGGCTTGATGGTGATGCTATAACTTGAGGTGAGATCCGTCGCAGAAACCGTAGAAATGAGATCTCGGTCTCGGTGAGTAGGGAGAATGAGTAATGAAGATAACAATTGTGAGAACATAAGCTTATGATATGTCTGTCTGGCTTTATGTTTGCTTGTCTGATGATTGTTTATCTTGAATATACCAAGCCATACGATGTTTGGTGTTGTCCTTGAGGGATAGGTAGCTGGGGTTGGACCGAGTTGGTCAACGAGTCAACATGAAATCTTCTCAGTGCCCGGCAAATGAAGGAACAAGAACAAACCCAGGTAAAACATAAAACTGCAAGATACAAAGATCTCAGATAGAGGTATAAATACGATGCTAATTTCCATCTTGAAGTCTCCTCTTCCGTGCCACACATCCCCTATCAGTAGCACAGCTAAGGACCACGTAGGACTTCGATCTTCAGAAATCTCACGCCAAAGTGGGAAAGTATATTAAGAGCCAAATTATTAGATCGCTATATCGTCAGAGTAAGAACTCAAACAAGTAGCTGGGCCTCGATGCCCTTCTCAAGGGCGTGAGTATCTCTTGGAACTCCGTTAGATCACACCAATACAAAAGTCGTTTTCTGACTTTTTAGATGAGCCCTACACCAGCAATTCAGTGTCAAGTTGGGTCAAAAATATATTAAATGATCTATCTGCCTAAGTCTATAAAACAGATGTCCCTTCCCAACTACTGGGGAGTCTTCAAGTGTGCGCAGCTTCGAGAAAACGTATTTTCCTAAGATTGCATAAGAATTCATGTCCGAACCAGCTCTTATATATCTCCAATTAATTTCTAATATACATCAGACAGCCGTGTCATGAGTGCAGAAAGCCTTTTTCGAGGTAAGTCCATGAAGCCCTTACCAATGTTCGGTATCTGACCTGTATTATTGCCAGGGCTCAGTGTCAGGGATGATCGTTCTCAACCGATCTGATGTAACAGCACACTTCTTTTCAATGAGGAGACTTGAAGGACCTAGGCAGCCCCTTCTGCCTGGTTCACAAAATAGGAAACATAGACTATGCAATAAGTCACAGTCTCCTGGGTAGGGAACAGCTATTAAATATGTTACCAGGCCCCATGGTCCTCAGTTTGCTGCAGATCAAACTTGGTTGGCGAAGCAACTAGAGGATCTGTCGGGAGACAAGGACCAAGAAGCCAGCCCTTCAAAGAAAACATGGTTAGTCATTGACTGATACAAGACCACATAAAAAATACCCTATCAATCATGCGAACTTGAGCTTACTCACTGCCACCGTAATACAGCTCAAAAAGCATCATCCTGACTCAAGATTGTAAATGTCATAAATTATTCATCAGCCTTCTTTTCATATCTCTGGGCACCATCTACATCTTTCCGAGAACCAGAATGAAAATTACCGAAGCAATGGTTTGTCTAAAGAACACCAAGAGTACAGTAGTTTATATCTCAGAAACTCAGGGGCAGTGGAGAGAGCGCATGGGAAAACAACGGTTACAGTAGTAGTCCTATCTTCTTCGGTATATCAAAATCATATCTTTTATCAGTATGATCTAAATAAGAATTTGGTTAGAATCGAGGTATCATAGCAGCTCCTAAGTGATATGCGTACTAAACACATCTGCTTGGTCTTCACTTTGGCCCATCCAAGGAAAAGGATAGCCAGAGCTAGTTCTCGGGACTGAAAAGTTCTACGATCATCCATATTTCACCTATAGGAGCTTCAACACTACGGTTTGTGCCTTATGTGGCAGCTTTATGTGTACGTTGTAGCTAATATTGTGATGAGAAGTACTGACAGTGAATCAGACTGGTGTCATACCAAGCTGCCTCCTTCATCCCAAGTATAAATACCCCCTTTCTCTCCATCTGACTTTCCTTTTATCCTTTTATCCTTTCATCTCTTCTTCAATTCATAGAGGCTGTCAGCCCTGCTCTCAAACTCCTGGAGGTAAGCATTGGCCATATGCTCAACATCTACGATCACCGACTAACAGTTACACCATTAAGTCTTCAGTTTATCTACGCAGCAAATCTTGCATTCAACATCATCATGTCCGACTCAGTGATCGACCTTGATCTCACTGAGATCCATTTCGACTTCTTCTGTAAGGTCGGGGGCACACCGCAAATGCTACATGCATTGATAGCTGCCCAGGAGGATGATGTCAAGCGCTGGTCTTCTTGTCCTTCATTTGGACCTTTCATCCAAAAGCTTTTCGTTCAGCCTCCAAATGTCTCTCGTCTTGGGCTCATTCATCCCACTGGTTGCATAAGTATCGAACAGTGTGGGCGCTCCAGCTGTTTCAGAGCTGTGGCTGTTGAAGCTCCCGTTGATGATGCAGCCTCTGTCACCCTCCATAGGCCATCAGACGGCGAGCCTTTTCCCTTCCCCATCAGAGATATTCTAGCCAAATTCTATGAATACGGGCAGTATGAACTCCACAAGGTTCGGATAGCAATCCGCTTCGACAACAAAACAATCAAGTATGTGGATGCACAGGCATTTCCATCTGAAAACTTTCCCGAGTCTCGCAATAAGGGTCAGCTCAAAAAATTCAACACTGTTGATAGCGTGGATGAAAGACATGATGTGGTAGATTGTGGCCGTCGTTGCATGAAACTCGACATTCCAACTGCCTTCAAGGAGCATCTTGAAGTTATTGAGGACCGAATGAGGGACAACGGCTACAACATCAAAATTCATGTCCCAGATGATATCATTGAGAGCGAGATTTCATGGCTTGAAGGTTTGAACAAGGATTCTGACTATGATTCTTTCGACTTGGGTGCTCATATGGAGGTCGCCTACTTTATGCCCTTAATCTGTAGTGCAGTTCTGGGCACAATCAAGAATGGAGAGTTTGCCGTATTTGAAGATGATGATGGGGACTTTGTCTTGCGCGAAAACCACAAAATCGACGATCGCTTCCTTCCCAAGGCGGCGACTAAAAAGAAGTGAACTCTTCAGACTCAACTCTACGTGGTAACCGACCTGCAACTGTCTGTTGGACGAGGCCTTTTGGGGTTTTGGTACTGAGGATGAGTGTCAATTATATCCATGAATACTGACGCTTATGCTGATATCAAAGATGTGCTCAATGTGGACGATAAAGATAGCAGATATACAAAAGGGGCGACCGGTTTGGTGGGCAGTGGCGGCGGAGGTTGATTTATGCAAACCAGAAAATAGTTGATGAACAATAGCTCTTATCTGAAGCCAATTGAGAGACCTATGCTTACCTATGTACCATATTTGAGGCTTCCTCTTACATACAAGTGCGGTTGACTGCTTGAAGAGTGTTTGTTCTACCTCCAGCTAAACTCAGAAGCCAAGCTGAAAGTAGACTACGACGCCTTGGAAAAGGGGAGTAATTTTCTCATCTTTCCACTTCTCGCCACCTTCTTGAGTTCTTTTTCATTCTTCCTTCTCAGCTTCCCAACAACCTCATCGTGATCCTTCTTGATGGCTTCAACCTCAGCCTCGTGCTGTTGCTTCAACTAGACAAGACATTAGTTTACCTGATGTGTTAGAAAGAGAGCGAGTGGTACCTGGCCTGCAATGAGCTTTGCGCTTCCAGACTCGATTGCCTGCTGTCGAGATTGTTGGATGGTGAAAAGAACATCTTCATGTGAGAAATTTGTTGCGTTTTGCTGGAAGCCTTTCATCATTGTCTGCTGGATCACCTTGGAGTAGATGAGCGACCAGTGGCCGATCTCGAGTGCACCTTGGCGCATGAGTTGTATTTCGTTCAGAAAATCCTACCAATTTCAGTTCTGTATACAGTCAAATGGGATATGGGGCAATTTACCAGAGTGTCTCCAAAGGAAAGCCCGTCAGGAATTCCTGTGGCTATTTCCTTGGACTCAGAACAGCTCTCAAGAAACGATTGCATCTTTGCGAGCATCTCGTTGTGGTGAATGGCAGCATTACGAAGACAATCTATGATCCCATGAAGCAGCAATTGAACAGGCTGCAAGACTTCAATGCATTGTTTCTATACTGGGTAGTCAGTATTGTGTAAATGAGACATGGACAAGGGCATTACCAGTTCATTAGCTTGCGTCGAAAGCTTCTGAATATCAACCTCAGCCTCCTCCTTACGTCTTCTATACTCCTGGCCTCTCTCAAGCTGATCTTGCATGTTACTCTGCGCAGATTGGAGATCATTGCTCGCCCAAAGGTTGAGTATCCACGTAGCAGCCATCTGACCTCCAGCCACGAGCATCTTTCCACCGATGTTTGCAGAACCAGCAGACTGGATGATGCTTCCGATTTGGTTTGCTAATTTGTTCTTTTGCCTGGAAACATCCTCTCGCCGGGCTCGGGCGGCATCTTCGTTTGCTTGAGCTCTATCTTGGTTGTAGATCTGGTCGTTTATCTCGGTCTTCAAAGTGCCGATCTGTTTGTTTGTTGCGTGCTCTTGTTGGTTCATGATGTCTACCACCATTAATCAGTCTGTAAGACTTATAGAGATCCAGTGGAACTAACCCTTGGTCTTGCTGATGCGACGACTGAATTCGTCGACGGAAGCACGCCAGGCTTGGAGACTCTTGTCAAGCTCATCGCATTGTTTTCTGCATACTTCCGTTGCGTTTGTGAGCTTCCTGAGATGTCTATCGAAAGATGCTTTCTCGCCGGGGACACCAAATGTACTTTGAAGTGCGTTCAGCTAGTAGCCAAGAAGTTAGTATTAATACGCCATGAGCTGGCTCATTACTCTTACCGTTCCGGTATCCTGTATCATGGATTTGGTCTTCATGTAGATACTGTAGAAAGCTCCATGTGTTTCCACTAGTTTGTCGAGTCCCATATGGCAATGCTCAGCCAGGGCTGTAGACAAATTGTCGCTCCTGATAACAGCGTTAGTTAGTATTCCAGTTTCCAAAGACAGAAGTGGACATGAACGAAGTCTCTTACCCTGGGAAGCCATCAGCGTCTACTAGAAAGACAGACGTGGCATTGCTTGTTGTAGAAATATAGAGACACAATTGAAGCTTCTGGGTAAGCAACTCGGCTCTGATCAAAGGCTCTAACAGATTATCACGAGGTCCTTGAGACATCTCGACCGGGAACCGAACTAAGCTACCCATGATGAAGCTGGCGATACCGGATTTTTCTAAGAGATTGAGTACAACAGACAGAAAGTGAAAAGCGATCAAGTATCCATTGATAGAATTTCAGAGCCTCGAACAGACAGATTTATCCCAGAAGCACCGACTGATCTTAAGAGGGGTTACCCACGTCCAAGAAGTATGTACCTCAATGTATATATGCCAACGTTTCATCTGCACCTGTTCTTTACTAGGGGATTCCATATGCAAGCTAAGGGCAGTTTCAACCCTCGTTGAGCCTATCCCCGCTCACGATAAAAGCCAAAGCCTCGTTCGGAGACAGGGGTCGACTTATGCATGGTAGGCGCCCGCATTTTAGTTTTCAGCTCTTCCCAAAGGAGGGCCCGATAGGTTATACAAGGGCAGCATGCATGCAGTATTGTCTGGGTTACTCTAGGAGAGAGCCTACCGAGTCTAAATAGTGTATGGGTTTATCAGGCTCGGCATCGCAGTCCAAGAATAGCCGAGTAGTTTCAACTCCTACCCTCAATCCTGGCATTGGATTCAATCCGACCATTGCATCCAATTACAAAACTTGGCCTCAATAACCAAAATGTCAACTTCGGGAGGGATCTCGTTGGACCATTTTCAGGCTCGCTTGACTGCGCTGCAAAAGCAGCATCAATCTCTCAAAGCAGCCGACTTAGAAATGCGAGCTACACAATCCGAGCGATGCCGTTCTTCACTTGAGAAAGCTGTCAAGAGTCTATTCCAAGTCATAACTCTCGTTCGCAAACACGACAAACGTCTAGTTGCATGGCACGACCGCAGTCCACATCTCAAATCAGCTCTTCGTCTAATCGGCATTGATCGACGTACAGAACATACTGTGAGCAAAACTACGGCCAAACTCAAGAATGGTGTGCATAAAGTCGAGACCCAGTTTGAATACGCAGGACAGATCATAGGAGAGAGTATCGATGATACCACACGCTTCCAGAAAGACTTTTCGCAAATTAGTCACTCTGGAGTTGAGGAGAACCTTCAAGCCATGAGAGCTGCTGAAGCTGAGCTGAAGAAGGAGTTGGAGGACCTCAAATACCAGATTCAGAATCAGGATGTAGAGTGTTCTGGGGCAATGGCAGAGCTGACGCAGCAGATTCAACGGCTTGAGGAGCTCACGGCAGATCATGATTCTGCAAGAGCCTGGAAAAATACTTGGGGAGCGGTGAGATGGCCACCCGTGTAAGAACCACTTGACCGTTTGCTGACTCTTCGATCTTCAGGTTACAGTAATTGCGGCAGCGGGAGCTTTTGCAATGCCAGTTATTGGTATTTCGGTAGGAATAGTAGCCGGTGTCAAAACTCTGTAAGTCATCCAAACTACTCTCTATGGCCCTCATTGACGAAATGGTACCTCTCGTAGTATGAATTCCGAGCAACAAGAAGCCCTCAGAGTACAAAAGGAAGAACACGAGCTTCTCGTCCAAAGCCACGACTCAGAACTGAAGTCGCTTGAATCCCAAATGGCACAATCAGGTCGTCACCACGACAGCTGCGCCTATTACATGGATCAAATCAAGCAGATCCAAAGCGCAAACTTGACTATCCGTCAAGAATCAAGCAAAGCGTTCAAGACTCTATGTGAAGTGCAGATGGCACTGGAAAAGGCGAGGCTCAACATCTTTGAGATATCACAAGAACTGCAGGAGTGTCAATATGAGAAGACCAGGCGTGGGATAGCGGCGAGATTGAATGGGATCCTGCAGAACATTCTACAATTTCCCGCAAAGGCGAAGTTGAAGGCTATTGATCAGAAGCTCATCGAGCAGGCTACGAGTGGAATACGTGCTATTTCGGGTGCAACAGCTGAGGTTATGGCCATTGTGGGTGAGTGAGACAATGGCCTGATTCTAGACTCTTATCAATTGCACTTCTCGTGAGGGGTCTTGGTGAAACTGAAGCCTGTCTTCACGTTTGTGTTTGTGCTCAAGTATGTCTGCCTGATCGGCGCAAATGATACCCTATTGGAAAAGTAGCATCTTGTACCTCGCATGGGTGCTTGCACAATACCCTTGTCTCTATCTGATAAACTCGGCCTAGATTGGTCTGTAAGTCTCACGAGGTCTTTGAAGCCCCAGCCTGCTTTGCAGCCAGGTCGTTGTCTCTGAAATGCCAATACATATGCACCTCGCTAGCATCTTCGAGGCAATAGATGCATTATGCTAGCCCTTTCTGAGGGCCAACAGCCAAAAATAGGAACTTTGCACGAGAGCCTGCAAGAGTTAAATCGGGCTTTGATTTGGTCCTGAACTGTCCATCAGTCACAAAATTGCATCACCAACTCAAAATGGCATCGTATAGTAGTCGGGCGATCCATTCTCTTACAGGCGGGATCAACGCAACGGATCAAGCATCTGCAGAGTAAGCAGCACCCAACGCCTTCAAGCCAACATTAACAAGTTGTTCTCAGTATCATAGCTCTTCATGGTCTAGGAGGCGATTGGAATCGTACCTGGAGCTCCTTCGGATACTGCTGGCTCAAGCACGCCCTCATACCCAAGTTCCCATCATGTAGAATCCTCTCTCTCAACTACCCAGATATGCTCTCTATTTTGTCAGCACATCCTCCTGACATACACGGTCTAATTCACGATATCATCAGAGACCGTCGTCAAGGGAACCGCTCAAAGTCACCGATTATCTTCCTCGGTCATAGCTTTGGCGGCACTGTTCTCAAGCAGGTGTATGTTGCCACACACCCTTCCAACACAGACGACGCAGACTATAAGGCTCTTCATAGCCATATTCGTGGCTATGTGTTCTTTGGGACAATTCATAAAGACAGAGATATGAGTAGGGCTAAGCTTGAAGTCCCAGAGTTTTGGAGAGCTTTGAGCCGCGGGGCCTCAGGCACATTAGGCGGCCACTCTCATGAGTTGGAAAAGGCAATGTATACCACCTTTCGCGTGAACCATGCCTTTCGTCGTCTTGGTGGAGAGAACCTCCTCATCAATTGCTTCTATGAAACCAAGGGGCCCGGCGGACTGAGTGTCAGTGAATCTTGTCACTCATGTTCCAGATCTGAAGCTAACATGAGCCCAGAGACGTGTTCTTATTACTCAGGAAGAATCAACTCTGGTCGCCCGTCCTGTTCCTACCATGCCCTTGGATCTCGACCACCAGTCCCTCGTATGCTTTAAAAGTCCACGAGATGAGAACCTCGCCCGTGTACTCGACGCTCTTGATTCGTTCATGATTCGAGCAATGGACGTTGAAATTCGACTGCATAGGCCGATCGCTCCTGAATCTCGAGGCCTATGTCTTTTGTCACTTGATGGAGGCGGTGTCAAAGGATTGTTTAGCATCATCATCATTGATCGGCTAATGCAGGAGACGCGACGCCTCGAAGGCCCTGGTGCAGAACACAAAAAGCCCTGCGACTATTTCGACCTCATTGGCGGTACAAGTACAGGAGGCTTGCTAGCAATCATGCTCGGTCGGCTTCAGATGGACACTCAGCTCTGTATTCAAGCCTACAAGTCACTGTCCAAGGAAGTGTTTTCTAGGAAGTTCAAGGTGCCCTTCCTGGAGAGCTTCCGCAAAGCCAGTAATGTTGCTCTAAGCTGGTCATGGTTCGATGGTGATAAACTCAAAGAAGCCGTTTGTCGTACCGTCAAAGAGAACCTTCTTCCCAGTGACTCGGCTATGCTGAGGCAAAGTGGCTGTACAGTGGAGGACCTGACTCTCATCACTGACATGAAGTCTGCCACGTACTCTTTTGTCTGTGCCGTGCCCAAGTACGAGGAAAAGGTGAAGCGAATACGATCGTACGAACCCCTCGACCAACAAGCAAATGCTCCTGCTGAAAGGTTCAAGATTTGGGAAGCAGCACGAGCAACATCAGCAGCGCCAATGTATTTCCCACACATAGAAGCAGGCGGTGTTTCCTATTTCGATGGTGGGCTCGAGAGCAATAACCCCGTCATTGAAGTAATCGAAGAAGCCAAACAGGAGTTCCCGGATGATAAGATCTCCACTGTGATTAGTGTTGGTACTGGTGCATACCAAGCCTCAGACGCAAGCGCAGGACTTGCGGGTTTCATGAACTACATGATTAACATGGCCACGAGCACAGAGAAGCATCATAGAGCTGTTCTTGAAGACCCGAGATTCGCAGATATCAGGAAGGAAGGGTACTTTCGACTCAACGGGACACTTGAACTTGGTGCCATTGACCTCGCCGCTGTGGAACGCATGGATGAGATTGAACGTCTGGCTGAGGCCTATCTGAGCTCCAATGAGGGTCAACAACAAATTGGCATGTGTGCTGAGCGTCTAGTTGAGAGGGCAAGACACCACTGAGGCTTGAACGAGGTCAGAATGTAACTTGCATTTGGTGCCACAGACAACACATACGACCATACCTACCAGAAAATACGGGATCCCGTCCGCTCTCCCATAGTCAAGCTGGTAAGGGGCGGATTAGTAGTTGGGTCGGTGACGACCAGCGAATCCCCGCTGTTGTATGTATTTTGCATTTTTGTGGGCGATGAAGCTATCGTGAGACTAGATTTTTACTGTGGGTTCATGGAGGGGGCGGGTTGAGCCATGCATGAGGCAGGTATCCGTACAGCTCAGACATTCGTGGAAAATGGTCAATCTCTTTACCATCGAAAGGACATCACCAAGTTCACTTTATGGCATGATTATAGAACAGAAGAAATATCAGATACTCTAATTTCTATCGTGGAAAAGACACTATCGCAACCTGGGCATCATGAGACCCTCTCTGAACAAAGAAACACTCGCTGATGATGTACAATGCAAATAACATAAACACAGGCATCGACTAAGCAGATGCTGCTACAGAAGCCGAAGCAGCCGATGAGGATGATGCACCAGCCGTAGCATTATCTCTCTGAACCTTCTGCCAGATCGACATGCAGCTCATGACAGCCATCAACGCCCACAACTGGCCCAACTCGCCTGTAGCACCGCTTCCTCGGAATTGAAACTCTCCAACACCCGACAAACTCTTGAGGCAGTTTGTGCTTCCCCAAACAGCAACGACCTCCTTGCCGTCGCTGGTGTAGCCCTCTCCGTTGGTGCTACCATCGTGAAGATCTTCTTCGCTGGAGGAGTATTCCTCTTTGGTGTTTGTGCTGCCAAGACGGACGAGCTTGTATCCGCCCCAGCGTGATTGACCAACGCTCTTGACTTCAGCGCCCCGAGAGCGTCGCCATTCGAAACGCTCTACGCGCTGGTCCGGGCCATGGCCGACCTGGATAGCAAACCAGAATCGTCCCTTGAGTCCTTTGGGACGACGGAGGATCTCCTCTTGAGGGGCATTACCAGAAATTGAAGGTAATGTGATTAAATAATCATCGCGCAGGCTCGACTGTCTACCAGAAGCAGCCAGTGGTGGTGAGTCGATGGTAGATCCGCTGTGGAGGATGATGTCGCCATATAAGCCCTTGGCGAAGTTGAGTGTGTACATAGGCTCGCCGTTGGGGCCACTAAGAAAGAGTTTCATGCGAGCAAAGCAGGCATATTTTCTCCAGCCTGATTCATATGAGACGCGGATGATGGGTGGAATTCCCTTTCCGATTCCACCAGCTGAGAGCTGATGAGATTGAAGTGTTGAGTTTGAGTGACCCATTGTGAGATGTGTAAGGTGAGAAGAAGTTGGTAGTTGGTATAGAATGATAAAAGATGTGTTTGTGTAAAGTGTTTATGATCAAGTCTTTGTATTTGATTGTCTTGTTCTCTTGAATTGATATCATTCCTGTGCCTTGGCAATTACTTCATCTTATATACCCAACTGCTGTGATCCTTCTCCTCGAAGGTGAGCGCTGCATTGCTACTGTTTACGGGAAAGATCTGCAGATCTCCACGCCGCTGAGGCACTGCCGCAGTCTTAGCTCGGTATTAACGATTGGTTATGACGTTTTTAGGCACCCTTGTAAGGCTGGCGGGTTGGTCAATTTCCCTTTAGGGCTTATATCCGGCGCTCTCTCATCTCCAGAATGGGCTGTGAAGATGTCACAGATAGACGAGCATTGCGGCGCAATTCAAGCTTCGAGATATGCTATGCGGAAACGAGGGAAAATGTGGCCAAATAGATCATCTGTAGCTCTTGGCTTGTCCCTTTGATGTAAGTTTGATTGTTACCCCAAGTGCATAGCCTCGACTGGCAACGCCAACGCTGGACTGTTGATAAGAGGATCAGTGCCATCCAACATACCTTATACTGACTCCTTTTGCTGCTGTCGTATCAGTGGCAGATGATCAACTCGGACAAAGCGAATATGCTTGTTAGTTTTGAGTCAGAGACTTTGCTCGAAACTCTGTAGGCAAGCATTGCCAAAGCCTGTTCATAGATGTTGGATGTGCAGCAGTGGCAAAACATGACCTGGAAGACAATTCCAGTGTGGAGAAACAGCATGAAGAAGTTTCCTCGAGATAAGGGTAAAAAGAACGCCATAGCAGCTACTGGTTTCGATCCAGTGGCCTCCGGGTTATGAGCCCGGCTGGGACGAGTTAGCTTTGTAGTTTTGGATGGAGTTTGTTGAACATACCGCGCTTCCACTGCGCCAAGCTGCTTTCTTGGGTGACAGGCGGCTTTGCAAAGTCCCGCTATCATTGAGAGGCTGTCCGTCTGGGTGAAACAAAGCCTTATTTAATGTAAGAGCATACTTTAAGCTCTAGTAAAGTCCAACATATAAATTACAGAACTAATTTATAATATATTTAGTATTTTCACTTTATTATCAACAGCCAAAACCATAAACCGATTTGTTGTAGCACTGTGCTGTGAATTGTGTGCGCTAAGTTTACCCCGCCCCCGCTCTTATGACTGTGAGGAAATAAGGTATATGAACGACAAATTCAGACTCTTCTGCCACCAAGAAAGCAATTTGGCGCAGTGGAAGCGCGGTATGTTTCTCTACAACACGCATCGGTTGTCCAATGATACTAACAGACATAGCCGGGCTCATAACCCGGAGGTCGCACGATCGAAACGTGCAATTGCTAGGTTTCTTTTTTTGCACTTTTTATAAATTTTGTGAGTCTGTATCTTGTTTTTGGTTACAGTGTTTATTTGTTTGTTTGTATCGTTTTTGGGTCGTGGGCCGAACTGTTGTCTGTATTACCCATATGCCTGGCAGGTAAAGACTTTGCAGTTGTCGTCACTTCATCTGAGTTCAGACAGGAGCATGTGATCACAGTAAGTTACAACATTACTGTACCTTCAGGTTACCTCTTTGGATACTGTATATTATGCGATTATATGTAGAAATAGAAAGAGAAGTGGTGTTCATAAATGAATGTGCACTCGCATCCTCTCAACACGATACTCCATAACCTCAATCCCGTTTCTCTGACCTAACACTCCTCACCAAGCATGAACTTCACACCTGCGCGTGTGATACTCTTTACAACCTCGAGCTCATCCTCGTTCCTCGGCGCATAAACCATCACGTTACCCAGATACAGAACAGTACCACTCAGCGGGTGACGCTGACCCCAGCCTCTTTCCAAAACAAGCTTTGCATCCTTTGGAGCCAGGTTGATATGCATTGAACCATCGCTGCCATGCATATGCCCAATCTCTCCTCCCGTACGCTTTGCGATGGGATGCGAAGGCTTCTCGGAGGCTACAAAGAGGGCTGGGCCTCTTCGCTCTGCAAGAGATGTTGCAATCTTGAGCTTTGACGAAGACGATGATGCTAGAGATGACAGGAATGATTGGTAGCCCTGGCTCTGTAAGTAAGTAGAATGACACGCTGTTGTAGCAATACACATACCTCGATAAGAGATTGCTTCGCCGTACCCGTCAACTGTCGACTCGGCGCCGTCCACCTCCCTATCGTCGGCCTCGGTGCTTCACGGACGGGAACATCTCTCTCACTCAAGAAAGCGACATGTCCATTAGGACCTGCCTTCTCGCACGACTTCTCATCATAACATCTCGTATGAAAAGGTTCCTTCTTCAGTGGCTTTAGAAGGATTTGGCCGATCCATCCGATGAGGTTGTGAGGTAGACCTCCAGGCCCGAGAGCAATATATCCACGGTAGTCTTCGGCTGCGATACGGAAGACCGGGATCCCAACAATTACCCCGGCTGCCGCTGCTATAGCCAGACGCTGACTCTGTGGAGTGAGGTTGGAAAAGGAATGGAAGATGGAGTTAAGCTGCGAGGTCATCTTGTGAGAAATGGACGGTTGTGATCAAGGGACAGATGAAGACGATTTATCGCATTTCTTATATTGGACCCCGTGAGCTCAAAACCAACATAATCAGTATGCAGTATTATAGTTAATACAGAAGGGTTTGATGTTATATCAATCCCGAAATCCGACACGTAATATACCGTGAAATAAGCCGCATTGTTCGCTTTATTGATCCTACCAACAAAGTCATACGACATTGTCTCATGCGGAGCGATTTCACCCGTAATAGTTGCACAACCTTAATCAGTCGCTTGAATATGACGTTATCTTTCCATAATTGGGATGTCCCTTTTTCGGTTTATTTTCGTGACCAGATACAATATCGGGTTTGCTATAGTCTTGGTTCTAATCCCTTTGCTTAACAGCGGCATCGATTCTTTTAACGTATTTCTCGATCATAAATGCCCTAACTCTCCTTAGATACTCCATACAAAGCTCAGACAGTTCTATTTCACCACTAATCGAGTGTATGTCATGTTTTGTCAAAAGCTAGTCATGGTAACCTTTAACACGCAAGTTACAACAGTCTAACAAACTCATTGCTACTCATCCACTTCTCATTCTATGAGCATGAGAACAATTACATCTCATATCTTATTAAGTGTTCCTTAGTACTTATGCGGCGTCAGATGAATACAAACATCGGCGCTCCTCCTGTGATGACCCTCGATATTGCTTGACAACAGAACGTCAGTGTCAGTTATCCACATAGAAGGTGGCAGTGAGTATACGTGTAAGCTCGGATGATACTCTAATAACCTTGATTTAAGTCATCATTGTGTTGCCCCTCTTATGCTCACGAATCTTGGAGGGTCACACACTCGGATGTGAGTATCCTGCATGGTGAACTTCAAGTGACACTTACTATCTGATATACTACCTCACTGCAGGTCATATGGTGTAACTCTGACGAAGTTCCAGTTTTAATTAACGATCTCTAATTTATTCCCTAGGCTTCTCGGAGCCAGGCATCATACTCGTAGTCTCTTATCGACCACTTTGGCCACATGGCCAATATCGGAAACAAGGTTTTCACACAACTTCAACGCTTGTTGCATCAGATAACTCTAATGCACGATTGATGTCTCATTTACTTGACAGTGATACAGGGAAGATACTAAATACTTCACACATCGATCGAATTTATACTCGAGATAGCCAGTTCGTTTAGAAAATTGTATAAGTTAACCACGAGCCTCTTGATAACAAGGGAGTATGAAAAATCAGGCTTCATATTAATAGAGACCCTCTCTTCCATTTAACTTATGTTGGCGCCCTCGAGTCGTCACTGAACACTTTCGGTGGATTTGCATTTGTTGCAACATACAGATTTCGGCGGAGAGACTTACATGTTGTTGTGCAGTTCTGGGAATAGGGAGGGGGGGATCTGAGACACTTTACTTGCACTGAGAAAAAAGGTCCGTCTGGCCTGCTTCCCTCACTCCTACGGTCTTACGTTGGTCTTCTCCCTATGTGAAGGTCTCTGAGAGTTTGGCATATTAGCATGTCACTACAATCTCTCGGCAATTATTCCTCACAAAAGAGCATCCGACGCAACGTATATGACTACTTAGCACTCCGATTGTCACTTTCAAGTTTTTGTCTCATCGAGGCTGAATAAAATGAAGGCTCTACCATCTTTCAGGATGGGACTCAGGGGCAACGAGGGGCATCACGGCAACCTGACAGTCATCGGCTCCCAGGCTCATTGCTCAGGTACTCTTCTTTCAGTGTACACCTCTTAGGATAGGTACAGCTTTATTCCACTTCACTCGGTATCAGTCCTAGGGATAATGTATCCATTTCTGCCATGGGTCACGAGTATGCACCATGGACAGGAAGAATAGCGATACACGTGAGATAGTCTTATCAAGAAATGTTCCATTTTGACTAGTTATATCTACTCAGTATACGCGAGCCTTCTTCTGTTGCTAGATATTGAACTTGAATTCTCACTCCCTTGTTATTGCTGATGATCTTGTGAACTGGGTGATTGTAGGTCATGATACCAGCTCCTGGCATCGAGATCCAGATGCTTCTATCAAATAAAATAAGGACATGTTTTGGTTATGAGATGGTAAGCTCTTGTTTTTATGGAATGTTTTGCGTGTCTAATATTATGTGAATTCGTTGAACTCATTTATGCATTACTCAATGTCACCCAAGCTTACAACCTCTAGCAATGAGTTGCTGCAATCATTGAACACCAAAGACACCATAACAACAACACATATCGTGACAACACTAGCCGCATGCTTCAAAACACAACACAGGAGAAAGAGAGAGGGAAAAAAACACCACAGGGTATGATAATACGGTCATTGAAACATTACTATAAGCTATTATAAACAGAGGCATTCAATATCAAGCTTCTGATATTAAGTCACCCTATATGCTCAAGAGTCACCTAACCTATATCGCAGGGATACATGTGATTCCCGGTAATAAGAGATATTAAGAAACCAGTTAACCGTAGAACTTCCACTTACCGGCATGTGAGACTGTTGCATTACCGCATGTGGCAGAAGCCCCCATGTCAATCTTCATCGCGACATTGTCACTGCTATTGCCATGGCCATTGTCTTGCTCATCCGCGATGAGACCCCCTATCCCTGTTTAATACACCCATCGGACAGACGCTCTTCCGACTGGTCGAGATGTCGAGACCCCGGTTTCTTGGCGCTCTGACAGTTGTCCTTGTTGGTAACTGAGTGCCTCTCGCCACAATCCTGCGACCATTTGGGATACCTGTTCGCAGGTCTCATACCATACTACCGGTTTCAATAATTGGGTGACCTGAACTGGACCCAACACAATGTATGTATTCAGAACTGAACCCGTACTCCGTATCCATGGCTAGAACATATTAGGGCGTCGGAATCACAGCGACAACGGGTTTGGTGCCACAAGTACCGGTGGAGCTGAGTCGTATACCATCAAACCACCGAGGTCTGTTGGTTGACGATGGAGGCATTTCTCTCAAGGCCAGTCCGCAGGTAGGTGATTGTAGCACCACCAGTACATCATCACGGAATTGGTTTCCCGCGTAGGAGATACCGTGATAAGCAGCTAGCTACTAAGCCAACACAGGACGACCAGAGTATCCCGTATTATGCCAAGACAAACAAGGGGATGTTGACCCCATCATCAGAGCGGCACAGACGGGGCTTAGTTTCTATCCAGATAATCATCGTTGTTCTGTGAGGATGAACTCACTTGACTCGAGGCTCTATGGATACCCTGAAGGATAAACAATTTGGAGCCAAAAACTGTCGTCTTTTTCATCTTGGATATCCTTACCCGATCTACGGACTTTCACGAAATGCCGAGAAACACACTAAGTTGGTTTAGGTTTTGGGCCCGGCACCTAAATACCTGGCCAGTTCATAGCTGGCGCACCGGTAGCTGT